ACCTGTCGCACCTGTTTTTTATCCAGCAAGGGCCTTCCCCTTTTCACAGGATTTGATCTTGACCGATACGCCTTTGTTGGCGGATTCACCGGTGGCATTCCAACTCCCACCAATCGCAACCTCTGCACGCACAGCGGGGATCTCTGCGCAAGCGTCCAAGCGTCACGGTACTTGCCGGTGTCGAAAATCTCTGGATAAGACCCTCGCGGCATCTCCTTTGTACCAGGACCTTCAGCTTCACGCACCTGAGAGATAGTTCTCACCCCATCTCTTCCAGCTTCACGGCTTCCAGAAGATTGCTCCATGCGTACCGATGCGTTGGTAGAAACAGCCACATCCGGCGACATTGGCCGGTACTGAACACCACCCACCAATTGCAGAATTTTGCAGGCCGTCACCTTGTTAACTCCTTTGTCCACCAAATCCTCCACAAAGATATACTCTTGTAGCTCTCTGACATTGGTTACACCAAGCTTGATCATAACATCACTTACGTGAGGTGTATACACCCACAAGTGGTTGTTGCGAGCCATCCAATGTTCTATTGGCTCTTCAGGATTCTGAAGACGTACCGTGGTAGACTCTGCCACCGAATCCTTTTGTACATCTCCATCTGCTCCATCCAGTGTATCACCCTCACCTGTTTTCTTTGACACATTGGTCATTTGCAACGCCTGTGGTGCCGAAGATGATGAAGATTCCGCTTTGCCGGTGGTTGAAAGGTGTTCCTGTCGGAAATCTCCAATCCTCTTCCTCTTTGAAACGAAACATGGTTCGCCACATTCACCAGATGCTTCAGTTGGGCCAGTCGCTCTTCAGACATTTCTTCGTGGGAATACTTGCAACCATATCGCACACATCTCCCTTTGAGGTAGTAGTCGAAGCAGCAATGATGGAACCCTGCTTCCCTTAGGGCCCTCCGAGACGCATTGTCCCAGGATCTGCCGGGTTCCCAAGTCCCTTCCAAAACCGCTTTTTCATCGTGCGAATATCTGCAAGACTTTCCATATTTACAACCTCCTTGGCTGTAATACAGACACATTTGCCTCTTTGGCTCGACTGACACCGGCTCACCCTTTGATGCACCTTTACCAAAGCAGCTATATTTGGCTCTGAAAGCTGAATCCTCCCGCTCCTGCTGTGCCTCATCCACTGTGCCTTCTTCTGTAGGAGGGTCACCAATGTCCCCATCCTCGTCTCCAGCTTTTTGGCTGTTCTTTGGCTCAGTTGGTCCTCCTCCTGGCCAACCTTCACCATAACGACGATGTTCATAGGAACACTCATCTCCATTGCGACACCTTCCCTGATTGAAAAACTTGCACAGTTTACTGTACCCTGGCGACACAGTTTTTGGCGTCAGGTGAGCTTTCTTATACTGATCGGGATCCATGTAGGCTTCCATTGGCTTGTTTTCTCTCTTACTCATGGATTAAACTGCACCGTCAAGCTCCTGCAAAAACCGCTTGGTATCCAGCCAAAGCGCATTCCAAAGTTCATCTTTGCCTTGACTCAGCAACGTTGCCACCGCTTCACCCACAACTGGTCGACTAAATCTCCTTTTCTTACATGCCAGTTCGTAGAGCGCGTTGTGGTACTGCTTTCGGGAAAAGGTGGTTGTCTTTCCCAAGCCTGCGCCTTCTGTACCATCGGGCGTCCAACCATCACTTTGCAGGATGCCATATGCACGCCGAGCTTCCGCATCCAGGAATGCATGGTCTGCAACACACTCCAGTATCTCCTCCATTGTACGACTCAGCAGCATCCCAGTGATTTTGCCCACATAGGCCTTATCAGCCTTTCCATCCTCCAGAAGAGCTCTATAGATCTTTTCTCCATAGAGTTGCCTTTCCTCCTGTTCTTCTGAGGATAACTCCTGATCAGCAAACCATTCATCGGATTGCTCTTCCTCCCATTTCCAGTCCCATTGACCGTTGGAATCTTGGTACCATTGACCATCACACCATGAATTTCCCCACCACGTATCCCAGCCGCCGACTTTCCATTTGCGCTGCGCTGGAGAAGAGTCCTCATCGTCCTCTTCAAAAACTAGGCAGGAATCTAAAATCACAGTGCCATCATCATCCACCCTCTTCACTGTCGTGCAGACAGTGTCACCAATTTTGAAAGAGGGTGTATTTTTCCCTTCTTCAGGAATCAGCACATTCAGATCACCGTGCGCCAAAAAGGCTCCATGCCCATTGATGCAACGCACCAGAGCAGTGATCCAATCTCCGGCCTGATAACAATGCTCCCCAGGTGTCACCAAGGCTCCCCCATTGGGCACTTCCTTCGCCTGTTCTTCAGAAACCATCTCTGCATCATCGGCTCCTGGAACATCCCTCAAAGGTTTCCACCTTTGGGTCAAGCTGCTCGTCCTGCTCCTGCACGAGTCCCACAAGATCATCCAACTTGTGCTCAAGGGGTTCAGGACCTTCCTTTTTGTCCAGCCAATGGCTTTGCTTCATCTGTCACAGTTCGCTCGGTGTCGACTTCCGGCGAGCTTTCAGACGGCAATACTTCCCCCTTCGTGGAAGTGGACCCACCATTGGAGTCTTTTGTCAAACCTTCTGCAGCAGGCAAATTTTCTTCCATTGCAGGGCTGTTGGATTGCTCATCCGCGGCAGGCACATTTTCTTCCAGGCTCCTTTGGCTCCATGGTTTCCAAAAGAGAATCACCACCATCGTTGACCACAGCTGCCACATTGGCTCCGGTGTAGCCTTTGCCATTTCGTTCCTCGCTGCTAACTTCAGGTTGCACCAGTGCGTCCACCTGTGAACCTCCGTCGTCAGCTGCTACGGAGACCTGCGCCCTATTGTTGCAGTCGTCCGCGGAACGTGACACCATACGCGCCTCAACCCGTGCTTCCTCCGCACTCCAGGTACTATCTGGCACATTGACCCGCGCTTCATTGGCGCTCCAGGCCTCATCTTTCAGATCGACCGTGTCTCCAGCTATTCCAGAAGCTTCTTTTTTCCCTTGAATGGCAAGATTCTTGGCACCAAACGAAGAGACCTCCTCAGTCGTAACGCACAACTTTTTCCCTCCGTCATCCAAATCTCCAGGACCACCTTCCTGAACGACAGGTACCACATCCACCACTCGCTCTTCTGCAGCCGACACAGTTCCAATCTCCGCATTGGGCATTTTTTCTTCTGAACCCACCGATTCCACCGCTGCCACACCCTCAGAAAACGCTTTCATCTCTTCCCGATCCAGATGTTTTCCAGCGATGTCTGCTCGGATTCCAAAAATTCCTTCCTCATCAGGAGAACCCGAGGTCTGGGCGTCACCACCAGCCCTAAGACCGCTATCCCTGATAGTAGAGGAAAAATCCTTTTCACCTACACTATTTACACCGCTGTTTACACTTTCCAAGCTACCCTGTTGTGCCCTGAAAGACTCAGTAGGCGACGAGGACGAGGTAGTACCCAGTGCTGACTCTTCTTCCACAGGGACAATGCCCATTCCAACACCAGACACTTCACTGTTCCCAGCCATTCCAGTCTTCTTAGGCAACACCCATTGGGTATCTCCAGTGTCTAAGCAGTAAAGATATTCTGAAATTCTCTTCCATCCTCATGAAAATGGCGTTCCCACGTCTTCCCATCACAGTCGATGATTGGAAGGTCAGCAGCTCGAGACAATTTGCCTCCACCAGCAGCGTATAAGTCTTCCTCTGACTCCTGCTGTATTCTCGCTGCTTCCAACTCCAGGATTTCTCCTTCACTCATCACCATAGCAACAGGAACAACTCCTTCTGCGTCCCCAGTGAAGAGGATACTGCTTTTTGTCGCAGCAACAGGCGCAGTTTCTTCCGCTTCACCTGTCAACAGATCACCACTTTCAGCCGCGAAGCTCACTTTATTGCGAGCTCGCTTGGAAACAGGGATAACATCCCCAACCAGCTCTGTCTGGCACTCTTGCTCCACCATCTTTGACGTAGAGGAGCTTGTTGTTGGCGCTCCCGTTGATTCAGCAGGTCCCGCAGCTCGAAGACAAAGCCCATGTTTGCTCAGAAGGCGCAGCAAAACTGCTTGCATCTGGTCTTCCAGTCCTTCCACCACCGGCTTCTCTTCGCCACGCATACCACCAGCATCAACCAGAGCTTCCACATTGGGAACCACTTTTTCACCCGTTGCAGACCGTTTGACACCACCTTCACCTTGATCGCCCACGTTGGAGCTCGATGATGCCGCACCAGTCTGTAACCAGTTGGTAGCCATTGCTTCAAACTACCACCCTAAAACCGAAACACAAACCGCAGGGAACCTAATTTGCGCTCATAACCTACGGGGGGCAACCGAAAGGGGAAGGGAATCAACCCTAACAGTCGCCAGAGGTTTCACCCTGAACCAACCAGCAAACACCAAGAACTCGAAACTTCTTTTTGCTACCAGGCGCATGGCCCAGTCTTGAGCCATGAAGATTACCAGGTACATTGACCCTTCAACTTTCAACACCAACTCTTTTCTACAATACCAACTGCAGCTCCGCATAGGGTTTAGGGTTTAGGGTTTAGGGTTTAGGGTTTAGGGTTTAGGGTTTAGGGTTTAGGCTTTAGGGTTTAGGCTTAGGATTAATAAGGCTTAGGATTAATAAGATCTGCAACCCTACGCCCAAAGCCCACAGACCCTAGACGATAAAGGTCTCCCTAACCCAGAGGGTCCATGTGCAGTAATTACCACCATGGAATTAGGTACCCAAAACTCGTACAATGTTACCACCAATGGACCCTCTGAGCGATACAGCCCCAAACCCTAAACCCTAAACCCTAAACCCTAAACCCTAAACCCTAAACCCTAAACCCTAAACCCTAAACCCTAAACCCTAAACCCTAAACCCTAAACCCTAAACCCTAAACCCTAAATCCCAATCCTTCAACCCCCAAACCCGAAACCCCTAAACCCCAAACCCTCAACCCTCAACCCTAAACGCTCTTTCCCTAAACCCTAAACCCTAAACCCTAAAGCCTAAACCCTAAACCCTAAACCCTAAACAGTCCGTCATCTACTCCTGCGCACTCGCCGGGAGAGCCATGCGCGGATCCCGGACGCACAGCCCCGTATCCCGACCTTACAAAAGGGGGGGTGAAAGTCATGCTAAACCCTAAACCCTAGCCCTAAACCCTAAACCCTAGCCCTAAACCCTAAACCCTTATGATCCTTTGTCATCATACTGTCAGAACCCCCCAAAACCCTAGGCTTCTTGGGGTTCAGGGTGTAGGGATTAGGGTTTAGGGCCCTTAGTGCAGGCCTTCGTGTTTTTGTGTTTCGGTTAGGCGGGATTGAGGGTGTTGGTTTTCAGGGCTTTGTAGGCTCACGGTTCACCGTAAGTTTGAGTTGAGGCAACTAGCTTCAAGAACAGGTTGAAACTCCACTTCGTAGTCGCGCAAGTGACAGAATTTTTGAAATTGTATGGGGGGGGGTCCATATCTCCCAAGATCCCGCAAAGGCGGTGGTTTTGAGGGCTTAAGCACGCTTGCTTGGTAGCCCAGTGGTACCCTTTTTTGCGGTTCTAGATCCCCTTGTCAAGTGAACCAACCCCCAAGAAAAGTTTAATTCGGAGGGCTCAGGAGAGGGTACCGTTATTGGCCTAGGACCCAGAGTAGGCCCTTATTCCCCTTGGTTGGGTTGAAGCTCCCTTGTCAGCCCCTTTAAACCAAAAAGGGCAGCCTTTCAGTTACTTCCTAGGTTACTCTTGAATCTAGTTATGACATGGTTAATCATGCTCGCTTGTGAGAGAAGTGATTGCGGCTTGGTCAATTGGGGCTGCAGTTGGCAGAAGTGAGAAGTTGCGCGGTAGAGCCCTACCTTAGGGACTACATGAACCCTGGAAATTCGGGGTCATATACCCTATGCTACTATATGAATCATAAACCCTTGCAGGGTTCACTTGGTCTCCAAGGTAGTTATTCCTGGTTTTGGGCTACGTGCCCAGCTTCGGGGGTAGAGAGAGGAACGAACCAAACACCCAAAGCCCCTTAGCATTGCCACTTGGGAGCTCAAAATCTGTTTGGTGCTGCTTATTGCATAAACCCTATCCGTTAAGCTTCAGGATTTCTGAGTTGTAGGGTTGTAGAGTTTTAGGGTATCAAGTCCTATCTCGGCCGAAGCCCTACGCAGCACCTAGTTGTAAGCAAAGTTTCCTAAGCCCTGCATGCTGACTCCTAACCCTGAACCCTCAACCCTCAACCCTCAACCCTAAACCCTAACCCTAAACCCTAAACCCTAAACCCTATAAACCTTAAACCCGAAATAAAAACCCGGAGTCCTATCAAAACCGCCAGGCCAGCGAAAAAGATCCTGACCAGCATGAAGGCAACGGAGACGTCGGAGTTTAGGGTTTAGGGTTTCGGGTTTCCGGTTTCGGGTTTAGGGTTTAGGGATTAGGGGTTAGGGTTTACATGGTCCGAAAGGCCCCAAATGTTAGGTTCTTTGGGGGGTTATATCGGGAATTACCGTTACGTGTTGGGTACTTTCTAGTCCTTGAACTCTAAACCCTTAACCTCTTAAACTAGGGATTGGGGGCCAAGGACTTTCAGGCTCGGGAGTGTTAGCTTTTTTGGGATCTAGAGCTCTTTGGGGTTTTAGGGTTTCGAGTTTTATGGCTTCGCAACTTAGAGCGGGGTTCCGGGGTTCAGGGGTTTATGGCTTAACGGTCTTGCGGCTACGGGCTTTTTCTTCTGGTTCGACGATTTCGTTCGAACAAGTAGTGGCGGTGGGCGCCCCTAACCCCTAAGCCCCGAACCCCTAAACTCTCAACCCCTAACCCTGAACGCGAATGGTGGGACTCGGTTGCTTATGTTGGGGAGTTGAGGAGTTAGGTTTTCGGGCATGGGTCTAGGTCTTCGGGTTCAGCCGCGAAGTCTTGAGATTATAAGGGTCCCGAAGAACTGAATACCTCTTGTTCCCTTATACGTACCCAATGCCCTTTAAAACGCTAAACCCTAAACCCTACACCCTAAATCCTAATTGAACCCTAAACCATAAACACTAAACCCCAAACCCTAAGCCCTAAACCAAACCCCTAAACCCCTAACCCCTAAACCCCTAAACGCCTAAACCCCTAAACCCATAAACCCCTAAACCCCTAAACCCCTAAACCCCTAAACCCCTAAACCCCTAAACCCCTAAACCCCTAAACCCCTAACCCCTAAACCCTAAACCCTGAACCCCTAAACCCCTAAACCCCTAAACCCCTAAACCCCTAAACCCCTAAACCCCTAAACCCCTAAACCCCTAAACCCTAAACCCTAAACCCTATACGTGCCAGTTAAGAAAGCTGGAGCCGACGGTGGAGTGCTACAACAGCTGCCTGGTGGCAATCTGCCAGGCAGGGTTTAGGGTTTAGGTTTAGGGTGTAGGGTTTAGGGTTTAGGGTTTAGGGTTTAGGGTTTAGGGGTTCAGAGGGATTCAAAGGGATTCAAAGGGATTCAAAGGGGTTCAAAGGGATTCAAAGGGATTCAAAGGGATTCAAAGGGATTCAAAGGGATTCAAAGGGGTTTAGGGTTTAGGCTTTAGGGCTTTAGTGCTTAGGGCTTCAGGGCTTTAGGGCCTCAGGGCTCTAGGGCTTAGGGGGTTTCAGGGGTCTAGGGGTATGGGCTTAGGGCTTGAGTGCTCAACGGTGTTCAGGCTTTCGGGCTCAATCGGCTTTAGGGTGCGTGAGGTGGTTCTCGGGTGCAAACATGGCGCAGGGTTTAGGCTTTCAGGGGCTTCGGTGTTCAGCGTTTCGGGTTTAGAGTTTAGGGTTTCGGGTTTAGGGTTTAGGGTTTAGGGTTTAGGGTTTAGGGTTTAGGGTTTAGGGTTTAGGGTTTAGGGTTTAGGGTTTAGGGCGCAGGCTTTGGTTCGGTGCAGATGTCACCGAAAGAGCCATCAAGCCCTAGATCACGTAGAGCCAGCATTCAGGGCCGTAGTCAACCCGGAAAAGAAAGCCTTTCGGCATGGGGTTTAGGGTTTAGGGTTTAGGGTTTAGGGTTTAGGGTTTAGGGTTTAGGGTTTAGGGTTTAGGGTTTAGGGGTTAGGGGTTAGGGGTTAGGGGTTAGGGGTTAGGGGTTTAGGGTTTAGGGTCTAGGGTTTAGGGTTAATTAGGGTTTTCGTGCTTCGGGTAACCTAAAGCCCTAAGACCCTACGACCTAAACAGAACCCAACTCCGTTGTTCTACCCTTGCAGGATTATGCCAAATTGCTGAGGGGGAATTGCAGCAGTTGATGTGCAAGGTCGAGCATGAATATACCTGTCCGTATCATGGCATCTTGCCATTGGAAGCTTAAATGGCTTGACTTCCCTAAACCCTACACCCTAAAACCCGAAACCCTAAAACCCTAAAGCCCTGAACCCTAAACCCTAATCCTGAAAGCCCTCAACGCTGAACCTTTCGTCCCACGCTCTATCTATACCCTACACCCGCCGAGTCCCTGAAACTACGAACCCAGACCCCTAGGAGGATCCAAAAATCAAAATCCCGTTAAGGTTTCCTAAGAATGACCCAATAGATATAGAGTGCCCTAAACCCTAGACCCTAGACCCTAAACCCTAAACCCTATTTGGGGGTTCTATTTTTGAGGGGTCTGGAATTGCTAAAAGCCGCCAAACCCTCAACCCGAACCCCTAAAACCTAAACCCTGAACCCAAACCCTAAACCCTAAACCCTCAACCCTCAACCCTCAACCCTCAACCCTCAACCCTCAACCCTCAACCCTCAACCCTAAACCCTAAACCCCGCCCCCCTCTTCCCCCCAAGAACGGGGTGTAAGAACCCGGGGGTTGCACGCGCCGCAGTCCACTTCATCTGCGCAGTCCGACGCCGGCAAATGGCTGACGAAGATGGGGAAGGCCTTCGATTTGGGGGCGCTTGGTGGGATGGATTGAGGGTGTGGACCTTAAACCCTAAACCCTAAACTACCCTAAACCCTAAACCCTAAACCCCCGCAGGGTTTTTCCAGGCTCTAGGAAGTCAGTCGAAGGGGATCCTGGGCTTGGTTACTTGCCCGAAGGACAGGCTGGCGACTTGTGGAGAAGCTTGCTTCTGGGGAAGTGGGGGGGTTGGGGTTTTGAGCTCACAGACCCAAAGGGTTTAGGCTTTAGGCTTTAGGCTTTAGGCTTTAGGCTTTAGGCTTTAGGCTTTAGGCTTTAGGCTTTAGGCTTTAGGCTTTAGGCTTTAGGCTTTAGGCTTTAGGCTTTAGGCTTTAGGATGGTTGGGGGTTTAGGGTTCATGTACCTCTATCGTAGATTTAGGAAGGCGTCCGCCAGGTATCGTGAGCATATCTTGATGTGCATTCTTGCCACTCTGATGTGTAATTCTCCCCAGCAGCGTCCACCATGGGGCGATGTGTATTTTAGCCAACTGATGTGAGTTAAGTCCACTCCTTCTGGGATTCAAGGTGGCTTATTGTTGCTAGGACCCATTGCATTTATTCCCTGCAAATCCAACCGGGCACCCTTGTTATTGCTAGGTTACTCCAGGGTCTAGTATTCCTAAACCCAAAACCCAAAACCCAAAACCCTAAGCTTTACCTAAACCGCAGCTTTAGGGCAACATCCATATGTGGAGTTCCTAACCCCTAAGGCCTCAAATGTCGATGAACAGACAGAATGCCATCGACCAGGTCAGGCTTTACCCTTGGCCTATGTACCGCTGTGCATTCCTATTCTTTGTAGGGTTTAGGGTTTAGGGTTTAGGGTTTAGGGTTTAGGGTTTAGGGTTTAGGGTTTAGGGTTTAGGGTTTAGGGTTTAGGGTTTAGGGTTTAGGGCACAGCGAGTATGTAGCATTCAAGATATACTAAAGAAGACATCTACAGTCTTATAGTACCTCAACGAGCAACGGATGAAGAGACCATCATCAAATGTGAAAGAATATTGTGAGACATGAAAGCGACCTTTGATTGGTCGAACAATCCATGCTCGAAGCATTTGGAAGATGAACCCTAAACCCTAAACCTTAAACCCTAAAACCAGGGGATAGTTTCCAGCTTCAGGGTCCTACTACTTGGAGTCTGTATTAGATGTCCCGCATTTTCGGAAGCCCCAAAGTCTCCCAAGGGCCTAAACCCTGAACCCCAAACCCTAAACCCTAAACTTACCCTAAACTCCATATATATTTTGTCCAGCGGCCATCTGCAACCTGCCAGGATGGAGTGTCCCCCAACACCGCGTCTGCCCCAGGGTTTAGGGTTTAGGGTTTAGGGTGTAGGGTTTAGGGTTTAGGGTTCAGCAGCTCCGGATCGAGCAGTTTTATGGTAAAGTTATATTTACGGCTCTGATGCAACACCCACCCAACAAGAGAATCCCACGACATTGAGAAAATGAAAAGTACAGCAGGAGTCGAGGGGGGAGGGAGTTGCGCTGGGCAGGCCAGGGTACGGCGAGGCTTGCAGGGGCAGCGGGGGGGGGGGGCGGGGATAGGAGGCGACCACGGGTGTGGCAAAATGCCCGCCCGCGAATGAGGCAAAAATGGCATTGGCTGCCCACGAAGCAGGCAAATTTGGCCCACGAACCAGGCAAATGCCCATGAGTTAGGCAAATTTGCCACCCATTGGGGTCATTCAGGTTTAAATGCATACAGAAAGAGAGGGTTTAGGCTTGAGGGTTTAGGGTTTAGGTTTAGGGTACAAAAGCTTTTCACTAGATGCCCCCGGCCGAGAAGGTTCTTGTGTAGATACAAGGAGGTTTATATAATTTCAAGGCTGCAACCCGTTAAAATCCGATAAACCCTATGATCTAAAGCCCTCTGACAGATAGAGGCACTCATGATCTCCCACCCAATAGTCTTGAAGGCCCTCGCCGCACCTGTGGGTAGGGTTTGGGGATTTGGGTTTGCAGGGGTAGGTTTGAATGTAAAATTTAATATGACAGACCCTTGATCCCCTACATAATCCTTATACAGCCATAACACATACAATTTTTACAGGGCCCCCAAAGCTCTACCCCAGGTTTAGGTGCCCTTATCATCATAACCCTAAACCCTGAACCACGTCACACACCTACCTCTCATAGTCTAGGGAACCAAGAAGGCTCCTGGTAGATTTTGTTGGGCTGCATGAAGGCTGCTTCAAGACAGGTTTGTCTTTTGTTCCGAGGGTTTAGGGCCACAAACTCCTAACCCCTCAGCCCTGGCCCCTCAACCCTCTTGAGCCGAGGGTTTAGGGTTTAGGGTTTAGGGTTACAAACTCCAATCCCTCAGGCCCTAAGCCCTCTTGAACAACAAAGTTACGGGGCTTCCGGGATCCAAAAAAGCCCTAAGCCCTGAACCCTAAACCCTAAACCCTAAACCCTAAACCCTAACCCCATGTGCCCCGAGGTGACGCTGAACGCCGGAATCGGCATGTTTGCGTCTCGGCGGCCATCTACAGACCTTGATGAAGTTGAGGGCTATCTATCCATCTATCTATCTATCTAATTATCTATCTGTATATATATATATATATATTACATTATATGATATTATGTTATATTATATACATATATACATATATGTCATAACAAAGACCATAGCGTATCTACGTACATGACCTCTCCCTAAACCCGTAAGCCCAAAGAGTAGCGTCTTGGGCTCGCGAATGAGGCTGACGGTTCAGAAGTTTAGGGCGAGGTACTTGTAACTCTTGAATTCTGGAGGCCTGGAACCTCATAGCCAGACAAGACCTAATGTGGGTTTAGGGTTTCGGGTTTAGGGTTTAGGCTTTAGGATTTAGGCTTTAGGCTTTGGGCTTTAGGGTTTAGGGTTTAGGGTTTAGGGTTTTGGTGTCAGGGTTTTTGTGTTTAGGGTTTGCGGGTTTTTGGGAATAGGGTTTACGGCTTCGGCGTGTATGCAACGAACCTGCTCCCCTTCTCGAAGCCTCCTCGTTCAGCTCCAGATAAGAGGGGTTCCGGGGCTGAAGAGGCTTAAGAATGTCTACCTAAGTACACTGACCCTAAAGCCCCACGTTCCCAGAAAATGAGCCTGAGGCTTGGCAAGCTCCATCCAATCCTGACTTCATGCACTTGTTTCTTTGAAAAACCCGACGGGAATCCCTTGATTTCAAACCCTAAACCCTAGACCCTAAACCCTAACCCCTAAACGACTCCGAAACCGTGCCTACCCTGAACCACACTGGAGGCCCCAGCCTCCTTTTGAGTTGGCTATTATCAGCCCTAAAACCCAAAACCCTAAACCCTAAACCCTATGGGCTTTAGGGTTGCGCGGTTTTAGGGTGGCAGCCTTGCAAGGCTGCAGCGCCCCCTACTCACCGTCCTGCTGCTTTTGGGACGCCTTCGGGTCCTGAGCCTTACGCTCTAAACCCTAAACCCTAAACCCTAAACCCTAAATTTACACACAAACTAAGCCCGAAGCCCTGAACCCTAAACATGCCCGTGGCTCGTTGCCCAAGGCTAGCTCCGGCGCTTGGGAACAGGCCATTTGGGGGTGGGGGGGAAGAGTTGGGTTCAGGGTAGATAGGGTATATAGGGTATGTAGGGTATATAGGGCATATAGGGCATAGAGGGTACGTAGGGAATTCAGGGTCTGCAGGGTATTTAGGTCAGAGCAGAGAACTCTCAAACATGATGATCTGCGACTCATCACATCGAAGTACCCCAACTTCGTCCTTCAGCAGGCGATCGAGGAATGGACATCGTTGCAGCATCCGGTCACGGGCACGGGCGATGAACTCAAGAAGTCCAACAAGAGCATGCTGGCCCGGGCGCCTGGCCCTGACGCGTGGCACGCAGAGCACCTGCAACGACTACCAGACGCGTGGTGGCATGAGCTGGCTCGCCTACTTGGAGGTGCATGGCATTTATTTTTCTATTACAACTGTACTTATAAGCCCCTTAAGTGCCTTACGATGGTCATTTAAGTACAGTTATAAGTACAGTTAGTAGTACGGCCTCCAAGTATGGAATGTCTGCTACCAGTTTTCGGTTTTCCTCAATCCATCCCCTCGACGCTAGGGGATTCGATGGGTCTAGGGTTCATAGTTGAGGCGTATGAGGATTCCACCGTGTCGGCCTTGCGTTTAGGGTTCAGGGTTCAGGGTTTAGGGCTAGGGTTTAGCGTTTAGGGTTTAGGGTCCAGCGTTTAGGGTTCAGGGCTTAGGGTTTGGGGTTTAAGGAGGTCAACTAACGTAGCCCTATAGCCTCATAACAGAGTCAAGTCGTATGTGCCCACCCGAAAACCTAAACCCCAAACCCAGAACCCTAAACTTCAGATTCCTACAGATTCCTTCAGCAAGAAGCGCGTGAGATCCATTGCAAAGCCGTCCCCAATGGGCTTTAGGGCCCTAAGCCATACTTCCTTAAAGCCCTACTTACAATCTTAAACCCTTTCAAATCCTCCTAGAACCCTAAGCCCTCAAGTCCTCAAACTAAGCTTCTAAAACCAAAATTCCGTAAACCCCCGAGAGCTTAAACCCTCAAAGGATTTGACCCCTGAGGCCCTGAACGCAAGAATCCTTAAGACTTTGAGAGCCAAAACCCCAAACCCTAGACCCCAAACCCCAAACCCTAAACCCTAAACCCCAAAACCCCAAAACCGTACCCCTAAACCCCAAACCCCAAAGCCTCCAGCCTTGAAGCCTCGAATCCTGCGGGCAGGCTTTGGCCTTTGCTACCAGCCTACAGCAGAGGGACATCCTCCCCTCGCAGGTTGGCGCTGTAGGGTTTAGGGTTTACGGACGTTTCGTGTTTAGGGTTTAGGGTTCAGGGTTCAGGGTTTAGGGTTTAGGGTTGAGGGGTTTAGGGGTTTAGGGTTTAGGGTTTAAGGTTTGGTTCTTTAGTGTTTTAGGCACGAGGCACTGGTCTTTTCAAGGCTTTCGGAGCCCCTGCAGCCCTGAATCTTCCAAGCCCTCGTAGCCTACAAATTAGGGTTTAGGGTTTAGGGTTTAGGGTTTAGGGGTTAGGGGTTAGGGGTTTAGGGTTTAGGGTTTAGGGTTAGGGTAAGGGTCGTTTCGGAGTGCGGAGCTTGCGGGCGGAAGGGTGTTTTGAGGTTCTTAAGGGATACGTTTTGGGAGTGGTCTTAACTGTCCTCGCAAATGCAACAAAGTTGATTGTTTTGTTTAAGGGTTTAGGGGTTAGGGTTTAGGGTTGAGGGTTGAGGGTTTAGGGTTAAGGGTTAAGGGTTAAGGCTTAAGGAGGGGTTTAAGGGTTTATGCAAGCAGTCACTGCAAAGCACGATGCACGCCAAGATCCTTTTGGGGGAGTCTAGCGGTTTAGGAGCCCTAAACCTCAAACTAAGGGGTTGCCTAGGGTTTAGGGTTTAGGGGTTTAGGGTTTAGGGTTTAGGGTTTAGGGTTTAGGAACCCTAAACCCCAAACTGCCTGGCGGGTTCACTTCCGGGGACGGTTTTTCAGGTCCTAGCAGCTTTTTCTTGCCTGTTGCTGGTGCTCTGTGCTCACGCTGCATGTTGCAAACATTGGCCTGCGTGTGGTTTTCCTGCGATGTTCAACATGTCGGGTTTTTTTTTGTCTGTGTTGTGACGTGTTGCCATTGCAGCGTTTGCAACTACCAAAAGTTGCGCTACTTTTGGTGCCTGGTTGTCGTCGGTGTTTTGTGCAAGGTCACGAAAAGCGTGGCCTGCGTGGTAGAATCGAGACATGTATGATAGCCTGCCTTTGCTACTTACACCCAGCGCGTTTGGCGCTTTTTTGGTTTCTTCGGGAGGGGGGGGGGGGGGGGGGGGGGGTGGAGGGGGGGGGGGGGGGGGGGGGGGGGGGGGGGGGGGGGGGGGGGGGGGGGGGGGGGGGGGGGGGGGGGGGGTTAAGAACGACACTTTGAACCCGGCTTCTTTGGGTGGGGATGCTAAAGAGTGGGAACATCTGCCACGACATCTTCTGTTTCTAGCCGCGCATGCCTTGCCTCTGTAGCGCGCAGCGGATGCTACTGTGCTTGGTTTTCAGCCACTCGGGAAGCGCATCATAGGAAAACGTGCTGCTGTCGAAACTGGCGTGGGTCCAGCATCGCCGCCGGTTCTGACTGTCGCGGCGGGGTCTCAACTAGATGCTTCCTGGTTTGGACATTGGTCTTTGGGCCCTGTGCTTCTTGAAAAGACAACGGAATCTGTGCAATTACAGAAGCCCCCTCTTTCATACCGAAACCGACTCACAGTAATTGCTTTTTTCCGGCCTCTACAACACGAAACCCTGTAAATTACGACACAAACCCATCCCCGGAACTGAACCCGTCGGGCCAAACTGAGGGGGTCCAAGGAAAAGTCCCAAGTCCCTGTATCTCAACCTCAGATCACCTTCGGCGCGCTGATCGGCACCTGCAAAGAATCCAGGCTACACTGGGGTTTGGGGGGTTGAGAATTTAGGGTTCAGGGTTTAGGGTTTAGGGTTTAGGGTTTAGGGCTCTTCAGGCTGCTGCCGTATACCTCCACGGCCTCCAGTGGAAGGTCATAGCCAAGGCGGTGGCTCAACGGTTAAACCGTAAACCCTAAACCCTAAACCCTAAACCCTAAACCCTAAACCCTAAACCCTAAACCCTAAACCCTAAACCCTAAACCCTAAACCCTAAACCCTAAACCCTAAACCCTAAACCCTAAACCCTAAACCCTAAACCCAACTCTTGAGCTTAGTCCAACGTATTGGCAATACGACGCTGCAGCGTGGAGAACATGAGCTCCAGTTGATGCGAAGACTCCATTGCATGTGGCTCCTTCTGACGTCTGGGCGGGCATTGTCAGGCCTGTCCATAGGCGTGCTATCCAGCAATGCTCAGAGTGCGTCAGGCCGCGTTGACTTCGTCGCAGTCAAGAAACATGCCCTAACAGGCAAGAGCCTCCACGGGGGACGCGCCAGCACGTGCACCTGTGCCTGGGGAAGGACATGTCGACACTTGGGCGCAAGAGCGCGGATCTCTTTGTCCGGGTTGATCCCAAAGAGGCTCTTCGAGTCTCTTGGCTAAACTCACTCATGTAAAGAGTAGCAGGTGTAAAGCTACTGCAACAACACCCAAAGAAAGGTAGGGCTTTGCCACATCTCTGCAGCTTTGCCTTGAAGCTTTGTGGGGACCCTAAACCCTAAACCCTGAACCCTGAACCCTAAACCCTGAACCCTCAACCCTAAACCCTAAACCCTGAACCCTGAACCCTGAACCCTGAAGATTCCCTGAGTTAGGGGTCCCTGTTGAGGTTCAGATGATACTTCGGAGCCTCACAGTTTAGGGTTTAGGGTTTAAGGTTTAGGGTTAGGGTTTAGGGTTTAGGGCTTGGGGTTTAGGGTTTAGGGGTTAGGGGTTAGGGGTTAGGGTTTTGGGTTTTGTGTTTTGGGTTTTGGGTTTTGGGTGCCTAACATGGTTTCAAAGTTGCAGGGAGCTGCCATACTTAGGCGCCACACAGCCTTCGACAACAGAAAAACAACTCGAGGCATGATTTCAAGGGACCCAGGGGCTATACAAGGTATATAAGAGGGGTTATATAAGGGGAACAAGATCAAGGCCCTAAACCCCAAGCCCTAAACCCTAAACCCTGAACCCCAAACCCTAAATGAGGGTCCCTTCCAAGGGGTCCCTCCTTAGACCCCTTAGAGCTGGCAGTCCCTGAGGTTGAGCCCAAAGTCTATAACAGCGAAGCAGCCTGGAGCCAAAAACTTATGCCCCTTGGGCAGAACCCTGAAAACCAAACCCTGAACCCGGAAGCCGAAACCCTAAACCCTAAGCCCTAAAACCCTAAGCTCTAAACCCAAAAACGCTGAACCCTAAACCCTGAAGCCCTAAACCCGAAACCCTGGCCACAACCTCAAGCCCCAGACCCTCGGAGTCATGAAGCCCAGGAACATTGGCTCTTAACCCCCAAGCCCTCAACCCCCAAACCCCTGAACCCCTAAGCAACCCCCCCCCCCCCCCCCCCGAAAACCTAAACGCTAAACCCTAAACCCTGAACCCTGAACCCTAAACCCTAAAACTCTATGAGCCCTAAGCCCGAAGCCGTCCCTGCAGAAGCTGGCCTGCCGCCTTGGCGATTCTTGAGGCGAGTTCCGAGTCTGGGTTTAGGGTTTGGGGTTTCGGGCTTAGGGTGTTCTAAACCCTAAACCCTAAAACCTAAACCCTAAACCCTAAACCCGAAACCCTAAACCCTAAACCCTAAACCCTACACCCTAAACCCTAAACCCAAAACTTATCTCTAAACCTTTACAAACCCTACTGGGTAGGGCTTTGGGATATAACCCGAAACACTGTCCCTGCAGTTCGAAGGTCTTCGTGCTGGGGGGCTTTAGGATGCTTCGGGTCCCAATGTGGGTTAGGGTTTGTGTTTAGGGTCGATGGTTTGCGGGGGTATTGGGTTTAGGGTTAGGGGTTTAGGGGTTTTAGGGGTTTAGGGGTTTAGGGTTTAGGATTTAGGATTTAGGATTTAGGATTCAGCAATGGCAAATGCATAGGGTTTGGAGTTTAAGGCTCTCCCCCCCCCTCCCCCAAGCTTTACATGTCATTTTTGGAACCGCCCAAACAAAGGTGTCCGTGTTTGTGGGGCCACCCTAAACCCTAAACCCTAAACCCTAAACCCTAAACCCTAAACCCTAAACCCAATATCCCCAAACCATAGACCCCACTTTGGTGGCCCTGGCAGCTGGCCCTGATTGGCCATTGTGTCACTTTAGGATTTATATCCTTTCGGGTTTAGGGTTTAGGGTTAGGGTTTAGGGTTTGGGGTTTGGGTTTAGGGTTTAGGGTTTAGGGTTTGGGGTTTGGGGTTTGGGGTTTGGGGTTTGGGGTTTGGGGTTTGGGGTTTGAGGTTTGGGGTTTGGGGTTTAGTTTGAACCTTAACGCTCACACGATTCTCAGTTCTCATGTTCTGACAACCTCAGGTGAGGTCCACCCTTTCCGTGCCGGGGAACAACAGTACACCCTAAACCCTGTACCCGATACCCTATACCCTATACCCTATAGACCCTAAACCCAAGCGCGCGGATGGCAAAGGACATGCTGGCCCAGCCGTCCATCCCTCCCAGCGCCGGGTGCTCGCCGACTGCTGGACAGAAGACCCCTAACACCTGAACCCAATACCTTTCTGATACCCCAATCTGCTTGAACCCTAAACCCTAAACCCGGAACCCTAAACCCTAAACCCTAAACCCACCCTAAACCCTAAACCCTTCCCTGAACCCTAAACCCTTCCCTGAACCCCATACCCGAAAATGTTTCAGGAATTTCATTTGATTCTTGGATGGGGGAGTGCAAATGTCCGGGGCCAGAGAGCTCAGAATCTTGCCCAAGGCTCTAAACCCTAAACGCCAAACCCCAGACCGTAAACCCTAAACCGGAAACCTAAACTCAGAACAATACTCTGCACACCCTGTTCCTAGGGCAGCTTCATGTGGGTAAGGCACAGTCTCGCGACCCGCAACCCTAAACCCTAAACCCTAAACCCTAAACCTGTTTATACAATGTGCTTTACCTGGCAACTCAGCTTCTCTGAGTTGCCCTAAAGCCGTAACGCCCTTCTCTGGGGCAAGGGTTTAGTTAGGGTTTAAGGTTTAGGGATTAGGGTTTAGGGTTTGGGGTTTAGAGTTAGGGTTTAGGGTTTAGGCCCTTTGAGTATTTGTATTTTCCCTTGTTGGATTAAAGAGGGTCATATTTCTAAACTCAACTCTACTCCTCGCCCGGAACTCTTCTCCTCGCCCGGTCTACTCCTAGAGGAGTGCCCAACCCCAAAAACTCCCTGGAGTGCCCAACCCCACAGACTCCCTGCAGCGCCAACCCAGAGAACCCCAGAGACTCCCTTGGAGTGCTAAGGTGGGGATGTTCGAAGTAAATAATTAGATTTTTCTCAGAGGGTTTTATGGGCCATGCTAGTTGTATACCCCTAAACCCTAAACCCTAAACCCTAAACCCTAAACCCTAAACCCTAAACCCTAAACCCTAAACCCTAAACCCTAAACCCTAAACCCTAAACCCTAAACCCTAAACCCTAAACCCTAAACCCTAAACCCTAAACCCTAAACCTAACCCTAAACCCTAAACCCTAAACCCTAAACCCTAAACCCTAAACCCTAAACCCTAAACCCTAAACCCTAAACCCTAAACCCTAAACCCTAAACCCTAAACTAAACCCGGACCACACACCGGCCAACGACTTCAGAGGTCACGGCCTTCAACATTGCCATCGCCGTCTGCGAGAGCTGCGACCAGCCCCTTGGTCCCCTTTGAGCCCTGTAACTCCTAAACCCTAAACCCTAAACCCTAAGCCTCAAGCCCTAAACCCTAAACCCTAAACCCTAAAGCCTAAAGCCTAAAGCCAAACCCCATAGGGTTTTGAGTACGCTTGGGGGATTTGGGGGTTCAAGATTCTCGGCTAGCCTTGGAGTCGCAAGATGTGCTGTGGGAAGGCCCCTCGAAAATTTCAAGCGCCAAGTCGCAAAGTTAGGGTTTAGGATTTAGGGTTTAGGGTTTCGGGTTTAGGGTCTAGGGTTTGGGGTTTAGGGTTTCGGGTTTGGCGTTTGGGGTTCAGGGTTCAGTGTTGAAAGGTTTAGGGTTTAGCATGTCAGGTTCTAGTTTGCACTCGTCAAGCAGTTTTTGTAAGCGACAGGAAAAATACCCACCCGCCCAAAGAACTCCATATCACCCTAAACCCTAAACCCTAAACCCTAAATCCATGAACCTTTGACTCCATCCCCTAGGCCCTTCACCACACGCCTTAAGGGCCACAAAATTTCAAGCTCGTGGGCAAGCCCCACATCCCCAAGACAGGCCTTACGCCCGAAAATTTGGGCGTTGCCCACGGAGATGTGGGCCTTGCCCACGAAGATTTGGACCATGCGCACGAAGATTTAGGGTTCAGGATAAAGGGTTTAGGGTTTCGGGGTAGAGGGTTTAGGGTTTAGGGTTTCGGGGTATAGGGCTTAGGCTTTAGGGTTTAGGGTTTAAGGTTTCAGGTTTAGGATTTGAGGTTTAGGGTTCAGGGTTTGGACTCCAGGCTTGCTGAGGAGGGTGGAAGGATTGCGGAAACGGGCGCACCTTAGAGGTCTTGCATGCATGTCTACACATCGGTACAGATCAGGGTTTAGGGTTTAGGGTTTAGGGTTTAGGGTTTAGGGTTTAGGCTTTAGGGTTTAGGGTTTAGGGTTTAGGGTTTAGTGTTTAGGTTTAGTGTTTAGGTTTATAGAAATTGTATAGGGTTTGGGTCCGGAGTATTGTGCGGGTTTTGTGCGGGGTTTTGAGGTTTTTTTGTTTTGCTTTTTCTGGAAAAAGCCGGCTTTTTTCAGCCTTTTTTCAAGGCCCTCGCTTCTGGGGTCCTTTTCGGGAACTCCCCAGATGGCCCCACGTTGGTAATTTCTTTTTCTTCTGGAAAGCAGGCTTGTTCGGCCTTTTTTTGGCCCAGAGTTTGGTACGGATTTTGTGCGGGTTTTGATCGAGTTTGTCGATTTGCTTTTTGCTAAAGGCACCGGCTTGTTCAACTTTGTTTGTAAGGTCTCGCGAAAAGTTGGCGGTTTTTGGGGTCTTTTTTGAGCGCCAAACTATGTTTTGGCCTTAATTGGGGGTTTGTGAAACCCAAAATAGTCAAAATGACTAGCGAATACCGCTATGCTTTGACCGTAATTCAGGGTTTGTGAAGGCCCACTGGTCAAAAACACGAGAATTTGCCATTTGGCGGTGTCCAAGGCCGCCACTCTAGGGAAAACCCCTTGTGAAAGCTCAAAATGGTCAAAAATCACGAACATTTGCCATTTGGGTGGTTTCCAATGCCGCCAAACTAGCGAAAATCCCTATGTGTTTGCCTGAATTCAAGGGTTGAAGGCCCAAAATGGTCAAAATCACAAAAATTGGCCATTTGGGTGGTTTCCTTCATTCAGGGTTTGTGAAGGCTGAAAAATGGTCAAATTTCTAGGATGGGCCTGGTGAGGCTATGCAACTTCAATTATACAGGTGTTGAGGGTTTAGGGTGTAGGGTTCAGGGTTTACGGTAGCTCAGTGGTACTCTGTTGTGCTTTTGCTGGTTGGGTTCCCTTGTACAGAAACCAACCTCAAAAAGGTTACCCTTGTTTTCATAAAGTTTCCGGGCTACCAGGATATACAGCTAGATTGAGAAGCCGAGCCTTCGTCCAACTCCCGAAAGCGCCTGTGCGAAAATGCAATTAGGGTTTAGGGTTTAGAAGTTTAGGGTTCAGGGTTTAGGGTTTAGGCTTTAGAAATTTAGAAGTTTAGGGTTTAGGGTTTAGGGTGTTTTAGGGTTTAGGGTTTAGGGTGAAGCAAGAAAAGCGGAAATTCGAGACGCATCTGTGGCGAGCTCCTCTAGGCCCCTGCAGGGCATTGTGGTTTAGGCCGGCCTTAGGGCGGGTTTAGGGTTTAGGGTTTAGAGTGCAGGGTATAGGGTTTAAGGTTTCGGGCTTCGGGTTTCGGATTTCGGATTTCGGATTTCGGGTTTAGGGTTTAGGGTTTAGGGTTCGGGGTTCGGGGTTCAGGGTTCAGGGTTTAGGGCACTATTGGACCCTGATGTCCCAAACCCTAAACCCTAAACCCTAAACCTCAAACCCTAAACCCTAAACCCTAAACCCTAAACCCTATTAAAAAACCAACGCGCTCACGCAAGTAAAAATCGAGACCAGATGAGGTGGATTGGGGTTTAGGGTTTAGGGTTCAGGGTTCAGGGTTTAGGGTTTAGGGTTTAGGGTTTAGGGTTTAGGGGCTTCTGGCTTCGGCTGCCCAAGTCTAGTGTACATCCGAAGCAGATCTGTACCCTGCGAAGCCGTATTGGGGTGTGGGGTTTCGGGCCTGGGGTTTAAGGCTTACAGATGTCACTCTCGCCTGACACAGCCTTAATCCTAACACCCTAAACGCCAGAGCCTAATCCCACTCGGAGCAAGGAATCTCGAGGTTCAGGGCAATTATAGGATTTAGGGCGTAGACTCCCGGAGCCGAGCAACAGACCCGCCTCTGACCCACAGCAGAAGGTGTCGTTGAAGATTTGGGATTTCGCCACAACTCATACTAGACAACGAAAGATTTTTTGTACATGCTCAGATCATTAGCTATTGTGGCCGCTATCTGACATAATTACAATCTTCACATTTGCAGCTGAGGCTGATCACGTCGCATTTCTTATCGTTAGGGTTCAGGGCTTAGGGCTGAGGGTTTGGGGTTTAGGGTTTCGGGTCTAGGGTTTAGGGTTTAGGGTTTAGGGTTTAGGGTTTAGGGTGTGACTTCAAACGAAGCCCGACTTCTTGCTAAGCTCAATCCTGCAAGCTGCAGCTGAGCCCAGTGTGCCAGCTGCCATGCAGGAGCTGCAAGCGAAATCAGGACTCCAACTGTTTAGGCTTTAGGGGTTTGGGGGTTTAGGGCTGAGGGTTCAGGGTTTTGGGTTTAGGGTTATCCCGGATGGCGATGCACTAAATGACATCACCAGGAGCTACATGAGTCAGTCCTCGGAGCTTCGAGCATGAACGGTATATTATAGACAAGCCAAGCGTATGACTTTCATTGAACTGCCGGCATGCTTGGGGAGGTCCCAGCACAACTGTCGCCTTTGACCTGTACTTGCTGCGGTCGCATGGCCAGCCGTGGCTCAATCCCTAAACTGAGACATGCCACCCACCCAGCTCGCGAGGAATATTGACCCAAACATATAGCCCGAATGAGCCGTGCCAATCGTCACGGTAAGCCACCAGTTGCTCTGGTCTTTTTTCCCGTGAGACGGGCCTTATACCTAAACCCTAGTCGTTGAGGTGCGCGCTGGCCGTGCTGCTGTTGCGCCGGATGCCCACCCTGGGTATTCAGCCAGACCTTGTGAGCTGGGCACCCGGAAGGTGCTGTTCCGGCAGAGCTGTCTTTACCCAGAGACCTGGAAGGATCTAAAAACATAGAACCCCCAAAATACAGTACCTTATACTACTATTGCGTGATTCTTAGGAACCCTTAAGGGGATCAGAGCCCCCAAGCTAGGCTGCTATTGGGTCATTCTTAGGAACCCTTGAGGGGATCTACTTTTTGGATCCTCCCAAAGTCCTAGCTAGGATAAGGGGGAAACCCTTAAAAGGGAACCCTGCTTAACCCTTTTCCGGCTCTCTTAAACAGGGACCTTATTTAGAGGGTCTATATCCCCAAGGGTCCCCCTAATCCTATCCCCTACAAGGGGCTGGCTTATCGTGGCTTCTCGGAGAGTATGGCTTCAGGGAGAAGCTGTTTCTGCGAGAAGTTGGTTCTGGGAGAGGACCCTTAACCCTGCACAAAAAACCCTAAACCCTAAAGCCTTTGACTATAGCCCCCTATATGGACTTTTTCTCTTATATTGAGTTATATAAAAACCAGGGAATATTGAACATGCTGCTGTTATTCAGGTTCTAAGAGGAGTATAGTTGAGTCAGGGGTAAGGATGATCAAGCGCCTATGCAAACGGGACGGAACAGTTAGATGTGGTCACTTCTCGAAAGGATGGTTTAGGGTTTAGGGTTTAGGGTTTAGGGTTTAGGGTTTAGGGTTTAAAGACGGCCCAAAAAGGGACCATAATCTTGAGAACTGACCAGAAGCATTTGCCTGCAGGTTTTGCTGTTCTGTTTTGAGGCTGTTCTTCTGGGGAACGAACCATAAGGACAAAGATCCACAAACACCACGACCTGTGGTTCACTCCGGAGGACGGGCACATTGGGGCCGTTTTCGGATGCCGGTGCTGCTTTGAGCACACGGGAACTTCTGTGGATTTGGGCGAAGCTGTGTTCCTTGCATTGGGCTGCGATCAGGGGTCGCGGGCTGATAAGCTCCCGGCGCACGTACGGGGATCCCTTAAACCTGGACATCGTGCTTAACCCGAGACTAAGCGTATGGGCCTCCAGCACTCCAACCTCGCGGCCTTGAGCGCAACCAGGCCAGTGTAAAAGGCAAAAAACCCATAAACCCTAGCCCTCGAAGCCATGCAACAAGAAAACCCTAAACCCCAAACCCCAAACCCTAAACCCTAAACCCTAAACCCTAAACCCTAAACCCTAAACCCTAAACCCTAAACCCTAAACCCTAGCCCCCCCAAAAGAGCGATTGAAATTCTGGATTGGAATTCCGGAGGTTTCGGGGCCTTGAGCTTCGTGCTTGCCTGTTGAATAGAATCAGGGCCCAGGGTTCTAGCCGTTTTTTAGGGTTTAGGGTGTAGGCGTAGGGTTCAGGGTTCAGGGTTTAGGGTTTAGGGTTCAGGATTCAGGGTTTAGAGTTTAGGGTTTGTGTGGGGTTTAGGATTGAGGGGTTTAGGTGCCGAGGTTACAACACGGTGCTGGCTGCGTGCCAGAACACTGGGGAGTGGCAGCTGGCCCTGCAACTGTTCCAGGCGCGACATGATGGAGGCTTACGGTTTAGGAGGGTTTAGGGTTTAGGGTTTAGGGTTTAGGGTCTAGGGTTTCGGGTTTAGGGTTGAGGGTTTAGGGTTTAGGGTTTAGGGTTTGGGTCTAGGGTTATGGATCAGTATGAGTCGATTCCTCCGGCTTTAAGGGCCTGCGTGGAGGGTACTGTTCTTAAATAGTGCATTCCAAGTCAGCCCTAAACCCTGTCTTGCTAGGACCATTGCCAGTACCATGACAGTCACTATGACTATGACGATTTGGATGTATAGTAGTCGGGAGCATATCGTGTGCGTTTGTCCGGGAAGCACAAAAGGCGAATGCCGCCATGCACGACATGTCCCATAAGAAGATGTTTAGATTCCTAAACCCCAAGCCCCAAACCCTTAACCCTAAACCCCAAACCCCAAACTCTAACCCCTGAACCCTGAACCCTGAACCCTAAACCCTAAACCCTAAACCCTAAACCCTAAGCCCTAAGCCCTAAACCCTAAACCCTAAACCCTAAACCCTAAACCCTAAACCCTAAACCCTTCACATGAGTGGGAGATTCAGGAGCTAGAGGCCTCCACAGAGCTGAGCCCGGATGCTCCTGGGCTTGGGGACAGAGGGGTCTTTAGGGTTTAGGGTTTAGGGTTTAGGGTTTAGGGTTTAGGGTTTAGGGTTTAGGGTTTAGGGTTTAGGGTTAGGGTTTAGGGTTTAGGGTTTGGCGGCCAGGACCGGCCAGGCGTGCTTTGGGGTTTGGCGGCTTAGGGCGCTTTAGGGGACAAGCAGGGCTGGGGGGTTGAGGGGTTTAGGGGTTTAGGGTTAGGGTTTCGGGTTTAGGGGGCCAAAAACTCTCAAACCCAAGAGCCCTGAATCCTAAACCCCAGAGCCTCAAAACCCCTAAAACCCTAAATTTTCTACAACCCCCCTCAAACCCTTAAGCCCCTTAAACCCTGACACCTTGAAAAACCCTTAAACCCTTAAGCCTCTTAACCCCTAAGAAACCCCTAAACCCTAAACCCTACATCCCTGAAAACCTTGACACACCCTAAAGCCAAAGACTCCAAAACTGCCCGAAGCCGCTCCCAGAGACCCGGGCAGTGCCAGAAGCGCCCGAGACACGCAAAGATAGGGTTTAGGGTTTCGGGTTTAGGGTTTCGGGTTTAGGGTTTAGGGTTTCGGGTTTGGGGTTTAGGGTTTCGGGTTCAGGGTTCAGGGGTATAGGTGATAGGGTTTAGGGTTTCGGGTTTAGAGTTCAGGGGGGTTTCCGAAATTAGGGCTGCCTTCTTGGGGTCCTTTTTTCTGAGGGAATCCTACTATTGGGGGATCTACGCTGGGGGTCTCGTAAACCCCCATATAATGAAAGGGGTCTTTAGGGTTTGGGGGTTGCCCAGGACCCCGGACCCCAAACCCTAAACCCTAAACCCTAAAAACCCTAAACCCCTAAACCCTATTCCCTAAACCCTAAACCCTAAACCCTAAACCCTAAACCCTAAACCCTAAACCCTAAACCCTAAACCCTAAACCCTAAACCCTAAACCCTAAACCCTAAACCCTAAACCCTAAACCCTAAACCCTAAACCCTAAACCCTAAACCCTAAACCCTAAACCCTAAACCCTAAACCCTAAACCCTAAACCCTAAACCCTAAACCCTAAACCCTAAACCCTAAACCCGAACCCTAAACCCGAAACTAAGGTCTACACCTACAGCTCAGTGATCAGCGCGTGCGACGCAGCTGGGATGCCCAGCCTGCGGAAATTCCGGGGGTTTAGGGTTTAGGCGTTTAGGGTTTAGGGTTTAGGGTGTAGGGTTTGTGCCGCCTCGATTGGCTCGGAAAGGTTGTTTTGAGCGAGCAGTTCTGGCTGTTGGGGCTTTTAATGTGTAGGGTAAATTAGGCAGGTGCAGCAAACATGAACATTTCTGGATTCTAGGAACCGTGAGCTCTGCAGCCTCCACAACTCCTGAGTGCTCAACTGGGATCCCCGTGAGCCCCATCCCTTATACTTAGGGTTTAGGGTTTGGGGTTTGGGGTTTAGGGTTTTGGGTTTAGGGTTTAGGGTTTAGGGTTTAGGGTTTAGGGTAACATTGCTGGTTATACAGAATCCTGCTACACATAGAAGGTTAACCTTTTTTGGGCTAGGGTATGCAGACCCTAAGTATAAGCCCTCAACCCTAAACCCTAAGTTTGTACATGGCCCTTTCTCAAAATTATGGTCCTCTTTGGGTAGCCTGAATAAGAATGCGCCGAATAGTAACCCTAAAGGGGACCATAACTTTTCGAATGTGAAAGCCTCCGCAACCCTGATTCCCTCCCCGCAAATGGAGCTTCTCTCGTGGATCCGAAGTGTGAGCCCTTAATTTGGGGTCCCTTCTTTTGTTCCCCGTATATACGCTCTAGTGTCTAACTGGCCCTACTGTCCGCACAGAACAGAACTAGTGTATAACAAAAAACGCCCCGACTTCGGGTCCCTGTAAACAAGGGTAAGGGTCCACACTAAGGGCCCGTGGTTCCAACCTTAGATTGATGCCTAAACCCCTAAACCCTAAACCTACGCCCTAAACCCTAAACCCTAAACCCTAAACCCTAAACCCTAAACCCTAAACCCTAAACCCTAAACCCCCTAAACCCTAAACCCTAAACCCTAAACCCTAAACCCTAAACCCTAAACCCTAAACCCTAAACCCTAAACCCTAAACCCTAAACCCTAAACCCTAAACCCTAAACCCTAAACCCAACCTTAGACTCTCAGGGTGAGCAGTGGGAGTGGGCGGTCAACCTCTGGCAGCGGATGGAAGCGCAGGTCCCCTCTGCAGCCTTAGGGTTTAGGGTTTAGGGTTTAGGGTTTAGGGTTTAGGGTTTCGGGTTTAGGGTTTAGGGTTTAGGGTTTAGGGTTTAGGGTTTAGGGTTTAGGGTTATAGGGTTATAGGGTTATAGGGTTTTAGGGTTTTAGGGTTTTAGGGTTATAGGGTTATAGGGTTATAGGGTTATAGGGTTATAGGGTTATAGGGTTTAGGGTTTAGGGTTTAGGGTTTAGGGTATTAGGGTTTAGGGTTTAGGGTTTAGGGTTTAGGATTTCGGTTTTCGGGTTTAGGTTTCAGACAGTTTTGATTGGGAAACTCTTTTGGCTTGAAGGGTCCCGGTAGCGCAAGGACGTTGTTTTTTTTTCTTGGTCCTTTGTACCCTTGTTATGAGAGAGTGCCCTGGGTTTTGAGGTCGTGGTGGCTGCACGTTGCACTTCGATGCAGGTTTGTGCTTAGGTCATTATGGGGTTTAAGGGGTCGTTTGCAGAGTGTTCGCTTGGGCTGAGCAGGGACTTGCAAATCAACCTGAATTACACCCAAAAGCTCTAAACCCCTAAACCTCTAAGACCCTAAAAACTCTACAACCCTGAAACCCTAAGTCTATCTGTCTGAAGTCCTGACCGCTTTCAACATTCCGAAACCCAAGCCCGAGATCCTGAATTCGGGGCCCTAGGAACCAGTTGCAAAATCGCGAGCCGTATAAACCATTCGCCATAAGTCCTAGGGTTTAGGGTTTAGGGTTTAGGCTTTCGGGACTTCGTGACGAAAAATCAAACTACATGGCATCATGGGCGGTGCGTCCCGCTTTTCACATTTTTTCAAATGGGACTGCCACAAAACGTGGCCCCAAAACGGAACTCCCGCATAAACACATCAATCAGTGGTTGGGATAGTACCTGGGGCGCGTTGGGAGCAGTGCGCCTGGCGTCTTTGCTTGAGGGCCTGTTGGGCGGGAGATAATATGCTAGCCTTTGGGGTTTAGGTTGGGATGTTCCCCCTTATGCTAACTGTCCTTCATAGGGATTATAGCACCCTCATTTAAAATCCTGACTCAGGACTAGGGATACCCCTAAATGAACTTTAGGGTGTTGGAGGATTCCGGTTCAGGGTTTCGGGTTTGAACCCTAAGCCCTCTAAACCTAAACCCTAAACCCTAAACCCTGCAAGGTAAGCCATGCTTTGGTTCCATGTGGCTATCTTCGCACGCTCAGTGTGGCACATGTGGACGAGACCCCGCGGTGATCCTGGCGAATTTGCGAGTGTCCACGAGATGGACGCTGTCTGTTTCATGCCCTGGTGGCGGCCAGGTGCGGGCTGGGTGAATGGTCAAAGATCCCACTGGCCTGGAAGGTTGACATGGCAAGAGCCCTTGTGTCAGAACTTTGCACGCTCAGTGTGGCGAGCCGTCAGGCATACCTTCTGGGCCGCTCCGTTGTGGAAGACGATATGGAGTGCATCACCAAGACACACCAGGTCGAACTGACAGCTGAGGACGGTTGGGGGGCGGGGGGGGGGGGTCAGCTTAGTAGGACACCCCAAACCCTAAACCCTATACTATATCCTAAACCCTAAACTAGGTGCAGGGCATGTCCGTCAAGTCAGAAGGTTTACAGCCCAAATGGGAGGTTTCCGGTTTCCACAAATAGGGGGTACCCTTTTCGGGGGTCCCTTTCAGGGCAGTCTATTCGATTTAGGGGCTAAAAGGGGTACCCCTTTTTTGGGCCCAATGGACCTGTCTGCCCTTCTTTTGTTTTTCGAACGATTCCACAAGTGTTTTGGAATGAGTTTGATTTTTTTGGAGTGAAGTTGAATGAATCAGAAAGATGTCGATGCTTCTAGAATTCCCGAAAACTGTCGAAGACAAGAGGGTTTTTTTTTTTTTTTAAACCCTCTTTACACGGTTTTTATAAAAACCTTCTGAACTGGCCTCCCATCCTTGGAGAAGACATCACCTCTTCGTTCGCAAGCTCATGTGGCATGCCCAAGACTCCGTCCGCAGAACGCGTGCAGCAACATAGCCATGTGGTTTCTCCATGCTTCTCCAAAGCATCTCGGATGCCCACCCTAAACCCTAAACCCTAAACCCTGAACCCTAAACCCTAAACCCTAAACCCAACCCTAAACCCGAAACCTTCATTCCATCCCTGTCACACTCAGGTCAAGTTCTTGCATTTTCTTGCGCTGGGTGAAACCAACACCTCCGAGGGCTTCAGCCCTCAAAAAGCTCTAAAGCCGTACCAGCCGCATAGTCATCCACTTTTGAGCATTCAAAGCCGTCCGCGAGTAGCGACCGAACCGCTCAAGGCACAAGCATTGTTTCGTCGAGGACGCTTTGGACCGCCAACGCGGCTCATGACACGGGAGTTTGCAAAAGTAAGGGATCCCTAATTTTTAGGAGTCCCTTTTGTTAAGGTCCCCAATTAGGTACCCCTAATTTCGGAAGCCCCACATCGCGCAATCAAGATCTCACTACCTCGCGAGACGATCTCGCGGAACCGCGCAGCGAAGCAATTCTTGGAAGACCACGGCAGGGTTCGATATCAACCCTGGTCCCCAAAAGCATGAGCCAAGGCGCGTAAGCCTAATTCACTCGTAGACCCGAATTCCACCTAAACCCTAAACCCTGAACCCTAACCTAGACCCTGAACCCTAAACCCTAAACCCTACACCTAGACCCTGAACCCTGAACCCTGATCCCTAAACCCTAAACCCCTAACCCCCAACCCCTAACCCCCCAACCCCCAAACCCCCCTAACAGTAAACCAAGCAACGTCGCCCCCGAAAACGCGTCTTGCCAGGGTGTTCCGGCGAACGACGTGATCTTCAACAGCCTGGCTTGCCACCCAGGGGGATCCCTACACCCTTTAGGGTTTAGGGTTTTTTGGGGTTTTGGGTTTAGGGTTTCGGGTTTAGGGTTTAGGGTTTACATAGGGTTTAGAGTTTAGGGTTTCAGTTTAGGGTGTAGGGTTTCAAAATTTAGGGTTTTGGGTTTAGGGTTCGAAAACAGCCACGTGTGCGCATTGTACAGATACATACACATATATATACACACATATTTGGTCAACCCCCCCTCCCCCACCCACCCCCGGACCACACCTTGTATCTATATATTCAAGCAATGTTTATATATATATACACATAAGAATTGAAGGTCTAGGGTTTCGGTTATTTTTGGGTGTAGGGTTTAGTATTCAGGCCTTACAGCTTACCTCCATTTTGCAAGACAGGGTGGTGGACCCAAATGTTGGCCTGCTTTGTAGATATAGGTGCGCCAAATATGTTGCTTGCAGTTTGGGGCGGCAACGTGGCCTGAGGGTTAGGGTTTAAGGTTTAGGGTTTAGGGTTTAGGGTTTAGCCAAGTAGATTCCTTATTTCGATTGCCCAGGTTTATAAGGGGTACAAAGGGTTATCTAAGGGGTATCTAACGGGTATGTAATGGGTATATACGGGGTATATGAGGCTATTAAGGACTGCTTTCAGAGGGGGTACATCCCAAGATACACAATGGGTACTCACCCGTTTAAGGGCCAATACGAGGGGACCATGTCACCCCTTAGAAGAACCGGCAGGCAAAACCACCAATTATCACATGGCGTGTGCTTGGCACGGCTTCTTCCTACGAGCATTGAGCAATTCCTCACTTGAGGCTCTGCCGAACCCTAAACCCTAAACCCTAAACCCCAAAACCTACTTTAAGCCCTATACAAGCGATATAGACACTGTAAGCCCCGAGCCGAGCCCTAACCGACAATCTGCCCTCGAGATGTCCAGGAGCCCTGGCTAGGTTCCTCAGGTAACCTCGGAGAAGATGGGTTTAGGGTTTAGGGTTTCGGTTTTAGGGTTTAGGGTTTAGGGTTAGGGTTCAGGGTTTGGGGGTTAAGGAATTATTGGGTTTAGGGTTTGGGGTGTAGCGTGGTTAGGCTTACAAAGGTTCCTTGCCCCATTAGATACCCCTAAACCCTCAACCCTAAACCCTAAATACCCCTTATATACACCTTTTGTACCCTTATAAACCCCTTATATACCCAGCACAGTGGCTTTTGCTGGTTCGTGTGTCGGCTCCCACCGGCCCGCAGCGAAAGATCTTGGTTTTGGTTTCACAGCGCTGGCTTTTCAAGCGCCTGTTGTGGTTTAGGGTTTAGGGTTTAGGGTTTAGGGTTTAGGGTTTAGGGTCTAGGGTCTAGGGTCTAGGGTCCAGGGTCCAGGGTCCAGGGTTTAGGGTGTCGAGAATGTTCATGCATGTCACTCGCAGGGTTCTTATGCTGGGGAGAGGTGTAAAGAGAACGCTTCTGGCTTCTGAGCATCCAGGCGCGGGCCAGCAGGCGCTTGAGGCGGCGTCATGTCGATTTCAGTCCATGTGCACCTCCTGAGTGGCGCGAGCATCACTTTGGCAGCGGAGCCAGAAGAGTCTGTCACCAGCTTGTGTCAAAGGGCCGAGGGCGCTCTAAGAGTTGGCAAGGGAAGGCTGCTGACAACCTCTGGAGATCCTCTGGCCGGAGGTGCAGTCAAGCGAGCGTGTTTACAAGACCACGACGTGCTGACGCTGCACGTCGGACAGGTTTGCCTTGCGTCCCGTCGGAAAAGAGCATCTGCATTTACTGCTCTACTGGGTGATGGATGTGTGGTGACCTGGGGTTATGCCACCTGTGGCGGCGACAGCAGTTCCGCACAAGCTCAGCTCCAGAACGTGCACCAGGTGCAAGCTTCTAATGCGGCGTTTGCTGCGATCCGGGCTGATGGATCTGTGGTGACTTGGGGCCATGGTGGCTATGGTGACGACAGCAGTGCCGTACAAGCTCAGCTCCAGAACGTGCAGCAGGTGCAAGCTTCTGATCGGGCGTTTGCTGCGATACGGGCTGATGGATTTGTGGTGACTTGGGGCAATGCTCAATACGGAGGCGACAGCAGTGCCGTACAAGATCAGCTCAAGAACGTGCAGCAGGTGCAAGCGTCTTCCTCGGCATTTGCTGCGATCCGGGCTGATGGATCTGTGGTGACTTGGGGCCATGGTGCCGTTGGCGGTGACAGCAGTGCCGTACAAGAGCAGCTCAAGAACGTGCAGCAGGTGCAAGCTTCTGAACGGGCGTTTGCAGCGATCCGGACTGATGGATATGTGGTGACCTGGGGCCATGGTGACTCTGGTGGCGACAGCAGTGCCGTACGAGCTCAGCTCCAGAACGTACAGCAGGTGCAAGCTTCTGATAATGCGTTTGCTGCGATCCGGGCTGATGGATCTGTGGTGACCTGGGGTCATGCTGGCTTTGGTGGCGACAGCAGTGCCGTACAAGCTCAGCTCCAGAACGCGCAGCAGGTGCAAGCTTCTTCAAGGGCGTTTGCTGCGATCCTGGCTGATGGATCTGTGGTGACCTGGGGCCACAGTGGCTGTGGTGGCGACAGCAGTGCCGTACAAGCTCAGCTCCAGAACGTGCAGCAGGTGCAAGTTTCTGAAACGGCGTTTGCTGCGATCCGGGCTGATGGATCTGTGGTGACTTGGGGCAATGCTCAATGCGGAGGCGACAGCAGTTCCGCACAAGCTCAGCTCCAGAACGTGCAGCAGCTGCAAGCTTCTTCAAGGGCGTTTGCTGCGATCCTGGCTGATGGATCTGTGGTGACCTGGGGCCACGGTGGCTGTGGTGGCGACAGCAGTGCCGTACAAGCTCAGCTCCAGAACGTACAGCAGTTGCAAGCTTCTGATCGGGCGTTTGCAGCGATCCGGACTGATGGATCTGTGGTGACTTGGGGTGATGCTCAATACGGAGGCGACAGCCGTGCCGTACAAGATCAGCTCTAGAACGGACAGCAGGTGCAAGCTTCCGTCTCCGCTCTTGCTGCCATGCTGTCCCCGGAGGTGACAGGAGCACTGTTCAAGACCAGCTTTGGAGGAAAGCACATCCTCCATCCTGAATGTAAGGATCGTAATTATGTCTATCCCATGCCTCCTTGTGGTTACAGAATAGACTTAGGAGTGGTTCCCAATACCTACTGAACACCCTAAACCCTATGCCCTAAACCCTAAACCCTAAACCCTAAACCCTAAACCCCTATTTTTCAAGGCGGCCTCTTATTCCCGTCTCATGGAGTTAGAGCAAACTCCCAAGAGCTGGAACGGTTTAGGGTTTAGGCGGGTTTAGTTTAGGGTTTAGGGTTTGGGGTTTAGGGTTTAGGGTTTAGGGTTTAGGGTTTAGGCGGGTTGGGTTTAGGGTTTAGGGTTTAGGGTTTAGGGTTTAGGGTTTAGGCGGGTTTAGTTTAGGGTTTGGGGTTTGGGGTTTAGGGTTTAGGGTTTAGGGTTTAGGGTTTAGGGTTTAGGGTTTAGGGTTTAGGGTTTAGGGTTTAGGGTTTAGGGTTTAGGGTGGAACATCCTTATCCCCATACCCCAAAAGGTATCCAAAGGGAATCCCAGCTCTAATCATCCTTAGACCATGTTCCAACTTTCTGGAGTTTACTGTAGGGTTTCTAGGTGGGGTTTAGGGTTTAGGGTTTAGGGTTTAATCCCTTCCCCCTAATATTAAACGGGGGGGCCCCCCCTTTAAAAATTCGAAAACTGTTTTGTAATTAGGGGAGGGTTTTTGTCGAAATGTCGCAATACGCCCCAAACCCTTAACCCTAGACCTCCAACCCTAATTAAACCCCCGGAGGGTTTTATTCGTGTTGAGGGGTTTATTGGAGGCGGCCTGAACCCCCCCCCCCCCCAATTCGGCATAGGGTTTTAAAGGCGGGGTTGGTTTCGGCAGGATTTTCCGGAAAGTGTTTTTATCATTAGGGTTTCATTTAATAAAAGGGGGAAGGGATTAGGGTTTAGGGAAGGGATTAGGGTTTAGGGTTTAGGGTTTAGGGTTTAGGGTTTAGGGTTTAGGGTTTAGGGTTTAGGGTTTAGGGTTTAGGGTTTAGGGTTTAGGGTTTATGGTTTATAGGTGCTGCTAGTGAGTGCGACTCGAGCCTACAAATAAGGGCTGCCCTGTTCCTGTCCTACGTTGAGGAGATTTAGGCTTCAAAGGTCTTAGGGCTTGCGCAGGTCAAGGTCTAGAGAGAGAAGCGGGAGGGATCAAACCCCTAAACCCTAACCCTAAACCTGTCAGCCCATCTGTTGGGGTCATGGCCTTAGGTCAGCGTCTGCAAGAAGTGCGCGCAGCAGGTGGTATCCGGGGAACTTAGGGGTTTTGGGTTTAGGATTCAGGGTTTAGGGTTTAGGGTTTAGGGTTTAGGGTTTAGGGTTTAGGGTTTAGGATTCAGGGTTTAGGGTTCAGGGGTTTGGGGTTTAGTTAGGCTTTGGGTTTTTGAGGTTGAGGTCATCGGGAGCTTGGGCGCATCCAGGATATCTTGTGAGGTATTTGGCGCGTTTAGGCTTTCACCTAGACCCCGGCTTTCTTGAGTACTTAAGTTAAACGGTTTCGGTTTATTGCGTGGTACAGAACATTGATAGAATAACGACAGTAGGTACCTGCAAGTACTAACACGGAAGTTGGGTCAAAAGCTCAGGGAATTTCATGTCTTCAAGCGTTTCGTGTTTAAACTGTTGGGTTTGGCGTGCAGGGCGTAGTTAGCTCTTGGGGGGTTGAGGGCTTCGTCGAAAATCTGTGAACCCTAAACCCTAAACCCCAAACCCCAAACCCTAAACCCTAAACCCTAAACTTCGTTTCTTGTTGAACTTCAACGTGCTGGGGTATGAGCTCCTTGCCCACATGGGGGGGGGGGGGGGGGGGGTTTACGAAAATAGGGGACCCAGATATAGATCACAAAATAGTAGGATCCCCTTATAATAAGGACCCCAAGAAGGTGCCCTAAACCCTCAAACCCGAAAGGAAGCCTATGGATTTAAAGCAAGGACTTGGTTTGGGGTGTCGGGTTAGAGGGAGGAAGTATAGCTTAGCATTTTAGGGTTTAGGGTTCAGGGTTCAGGGTTCAGGGTTCAGGGTTTAGGGTTTAGGGTTTAGGGTTTAGGGTTTAGGGTTTAGGGTTTAGGGTTTAGGGTTTAGGGTTTAGGGTTCAGCCGGTACTTCGACTTTGACTTTGAAGTAGAGGCAGCAGCATTCTCTGATGTCGCCCAGAGCTGGATCAGCATCGTGCTACACCGAAGCTGTACCCTAAGGTCCCGGACTGTCAGGGATCCTTGGCGACTGTGCCTTCAGCCCTACAGAGTTTCTGAAGGTTTGATGTTCCTGGTTCCCTGGGGGTTTCCGAAATTAGGGGGTGCCTTATTTGGGTCCTTATCATAAGGGAATCCTACTACTGGGTCTGCTTTTGGGCGGAAATCTACATCTGAGTAGACTGCGTCAGCAACCCCTCAATCCCGCAACCCTAAACCCGAAGCCCGAAGCAAAACTAAACCCTAAACCCTAAACCCTAAACCCTAAACCCTAAACCCTAAACCCTAAACCCTAAACCCCAAACCCGAAACGCAGGAGTGGGTGGATTACCTTCTGGCGGAGATGAGTCGACGAGGCGAGTAGGCTGAGGAAGTTGCTTCGGGCTCAGGGGGTAGGGTTTAGGGTTTAGGGTTTAGGGTTTACGGTTTACGGTTTACGGTTTACGGTTTAGGGCTTAGGGCTTAGGGCTTAGGGCTTAGGGCTTAGGGCTTAGGGTTTAGGGTTGAGGGTTCCAGAATTTCCAGTGGGTAGCAGCCTTTCAGGTAGAGGCCTCCGCTCATCTCTGCATTGCGGTGGCGTAGAGCTTAGGCTTTAATCCCTTACTAAAAACCTTTGGGGGTTTGGTTTTTTTTTCTACTGCGGGTGGGGGGTGGGGGGGGGGGGGACCAGCAGGGATTAGGACCCTCCCTTCTCAGTTTCTCCGGAGGGCTTTCGGGTGTGAGGGCGTTAAAGTGTCTTTTTCGCGGATTTGGGTTTTTAGGCTTGAGGGCTTTCCGTTCTGGGGCTGTCTAGATTTCAGAGCTTAAGGTCTGGGGACTTAGGATTTTGGGCTTCAGGGCTTAAGGGTTTCCCTAAACCCTAAACCCTAAACCCTACACCCCCCATAGTCGGTCGGACTGGCAGTGGCAGCCTAAGGATATTCGGTTTCGCCATCTTATGAAATGGAGCCTGTTGCAGGAAAGACCCCTCAGAGGTCAGGGCAGTGCCCTACAGTTTAAAGGGTTTAGGGTTTAGGGTTTAGGGTTTAGGGTTTAGGGGTTTAGGGTGTTTAGGGGGTTTAGGGGGTTTAGGGGGTTTAGGGTTTAGGGGATTCAGTTATAAGATGCTCTAAAGACGGCGCCTATCCTTTAAATGGCCGAAGCCTTGCTCCCTAAACCACGAGGAGATTCTTTGAAGTCCAACGAGATATCATAGAAATTATCAACCTTCACAGACCTTTCCTTGGCAGAACTCTACTAAGCTAGGCCAAGGACCCTAAACCCTAAACTCGGCCCTAAACCCTACACCCCAAACCCTAAACCCTTGTCCCTAATCCTGAAACCTAAACCCTTGCAAGCCCTTCTTAGCCCTTTCAGCCGCAGCAGAAAGCAACTTCTCAACCTTCAGCAGGTCTCGAGAAAGGGTACATCACGATGAGTCTGGCTCCTATCCAGGTTTAGGGTTTGGGGTTCGGGGCTTTGGGTTCTAGGATTTTGGGGTTGCAGGGTCACAAGGTTGTAGGGTTTTAGGCTTTGGGCTTTGGGTTGTAGGGTTTATGGTTTAAGGCTTTAGGTTGTAGAATTTTGGGGTTGAAATGTTATAGGGTCACCGGGCTACAGGGTTATATGGTTGTAGGGTTCTAGGGTTATAAAACGTTTTAAAATCCCAGGGTTGTAGGGTCATAGGGTTGGTGTCCTTGAGGCCCTCTTGATGGCTTCGACGACGCTCTAGGTAATGTGCCTGACACTGTGACAGCACAAAGCGATATGTTCGCACGCTTCTCCCAAACGTGGTTTTCCCCTCTGCTCTTTAGACAGTGAAGCTTTCCAAGGGTGCTTCACAAAGCGATATGTTCGCACGCTGGTGGGACGATCATCGCCGAATGCAGAAGCTTATCTATGAGGACTTTCTCGTACCCCAATATAGACCCCCAAATAGTAGGATTCCCTTATAGTAAGGACCCCAATTTCGCACCCCGAGTTTCGGAACCCCCCCCCCCCCCCCCATTTAGGGTTTCTTAAGGATGTGTGACCCAAAACCCTAAACCCTCAACCCTATAACCCAAACATTTCTTTTCGGTTGCAGGAGCCTTCAAGTAGCCTCGGAGGTTTGCTACGGCAAGAGTAGGCCCTTGTTCCCTTGCTCAGGGTTTAGGGTTTAGGGCTTGGGGTTTAGTACGCCCTTACTCCTTTTTTGGGGAGGTCTAGGTTGCCTTATATGGGCCTCTTTAAACCAAACAGGGCACCCGTTTCTGGGTCGGTTTAGGATCTAGGCTTTCGGGCTGAAGGTTTTTGATTTACAAGCGTTTAGGCTTTAGGGTTGAGGGTTTATGCTTGGGGTTTAAGGTTTAGGGATTACATAGGGTTAGGGTATAGTCCTCCAAGCGGTGGTTCATTTTTTGGGGGTGCCCTAGCCGCGAAACCCCAACCAAGACGGTTCGACCCTTCACGTTCGCGGTTCCAGGATAGGATCCTACGGTCTTTGCTCCCAACCCCCACACCTAAACCCTAAACCCTAAACCCTAATTCCGGAACGCTGTTTTTTGGATCTAAAGCCCTTCAAACCCCCAGCCCTAAACTCCAGACCCTATCAGCCCTAAGGCCTGAGGAGCCCTAGTATCCAAATCCTATCTGCTTATGATCCCTACACAGGTGTACTAAAAACAAACCTCAAACCCCAAACCCCAAACCCCAAACCCCAAACCCCAAACCCCAAACCCCAAACCCCAAACCCCAAACCCTAAACCCTAAACCCTAAACCCCAAACCCCAAACCCCAAACCCCAAACCCTAAACCCGAAACCCCAAACCCCAAACCCCAAACCCCAAACCCGAAACCCGAAACCCTATACTAAATATCTTAGGCGCAGCCTTGGGCTCCGTGACGGCGGAGCAGCCCGCCAGTGAGGCGGAGGCCGGCCTTAGGGTTTAGGGTTTAGGGTTCGGGTTTAGGGTTTAGGGTTTAGGGTTTAGGGTTTAGGGTTTAGGGTTTAGGGTTTAGGGTTTAGGGTTTAGGGTTTAGGGTTTAGGGTGCAGAGATAAATCAGTTCAGAACCCTAAACCCCAAAGCCCAATCCCTGAACCCTAAACCGGGCTTCTAGAGTTTTTAAGGGTTTCGGTTTTTGGTTTAGGCTTGCGGGCTTGAATTGCTGGAGCTGCTGAGGGCTCAGGGCGTTCTTTTTTTGCTTGTTGGAGAACCAGTTTACGGTTTGGGGTTTAGGGTTTGGGCTTCTAGAGCTGGGGTGCATAGGGGGTTGGTGATGGTGATTTGCTTGGAAATTTGGCTTCGGACGTCGGAGGGCTTTTAACAGGGTCCTCCGTTTATGTTTAGGTCGTGGGCTCAGGGTAAGCGTGTTTGGGAGCATGAGTGTTCCCTGAGCCCTAAACCCTAAACCCTAAACCCTAAACCCTAAACCCTAAACCCTAAACCCTAAACCCTAAACCCTAAACCCTAAACCCTAAACCCTAAACCAGACCCTAGACCGTCAACCCTCCTGGAAGGGCAGCGGCAGGGTCGCGGCAGGCGAAAACGTCAAGGCCCGGGGGGCCAAACCCCCATAAGTCCCTGAGTTTACTGTGAAACCCCTAGGCCCCCTAAGTTTAATGTTGCGGTTGAATGTTTGGGGTTTTGGGGCTTGGATTTGGGGTTTAGGTTCACACTTCAGGGTTTACGGGTTAGGGATTTCCGAGTTTAGGGACTATGGGGCTTAGTGGTTCAGGGGTTTATGCAAGGGTTCAAGGGTTAAGTATGCAATGCATTAAATGATGAAATCGCCGGTACAAGAATACCCCGTACCGTCATTCCGTCATTCCCTCTTCACCAAGGAAGAGGTAAACCCTGCCTGAATCTCCGAAACTCCCTCAACCCTACCTGAAGAGCCAAAGTTGCCAAGAAAAAGGTAGCAACTTTACGAAAAACAGGGTTTAGGGTTTAGGGTGTAGGGTTTAGGGTTTAGGGTTTAGGGCTTAGGGTTTAGGGCGCTTTCGGGAACGTGGCATGCAACTGAACCTTTAAAAACTGCAACTTTGCGGATATGTCTCCAGAGCATGCCTTTGGACGGCGTAGGTTCGGGTTTACTGGGTACTGCTATATGGTTTAGGGTTTAGGGGTTTAGGGGTTTAGGGGTTTAGGGGTTTAGGGGTTTAGGGGTTTAGGGTTTAGTATGCTTTGCTATAAGCAGCCACCCGACGTTTGGGATGGGCCCTTGTGGGGTTTGGGACTGCATTTTTGGCAAAGATCGGTCACTGCATAGCATGCGCATGAGCGCTTAGTGTCATGATTGACAGCTGAAGCCGAGAAGCTTTAAGGCCCAGACACCGAAGTCATACCGTGTCATTGCTTGCATCAGTTGCGATCGTCCGTGTGAAGCGAACCACAGATTTTTTGGACATTTGTTTTTTTAAACACGGGCCTTCGGCTACAGATGATTGTTGAAGACATATTCGGCGGAGATCAGAAGCCGCATGGTTATAGGCTGCAACTTCGACGTAGCAAGTGCCCGGAAGGCTTGTAGCTCCAAACCCTAAACCCTAAACTCTAAACCCTGAGAAGAGCTTAAGGCAAAGTTTAGGGTTGCAGGAAATCTTCTTGCAGGCAGAACACGACTGCGCTTACGTCTCCCAAAGGGTCAACCATTGGAACATGGAGCCCCTAAGCCCTAAACCCTACACCCTACACCCTAAACCCTGAAACCCTAAACCCTAAACCCTAAACCCTAAATCCCAACCCCAAAAAACAGCTTGCAGTTGCTGCCTGTCTTGCCCTGGGGGTGGAGGGGGTCTGAGAGACTGTTAGGATGCGTGCTTTCAGGGGGGCTTCCAAGGGGCCTAAACCCTAAACCCTAAATCCTAAACCCCAAACCTAAACCCTAACCCTAAATCCTAACTCCTAAACCCTAAAGCCCAAGCCCCAAGGTCTACATGGAGAAACTGGAGGGGGCGTCTCACCTCTTCCAAGAGGCCATGGGACCTAAACCGGAAAACCCTAAACCTCCAAACCCTAAACCCTAAACCCTAAACCCAACAGGGGTAGTACCCTGCAGGGTTTAGGGTGCAGGGTTTGGCGGTCTAGGGTTTAGGGTACAGCAGGCCTCGAGCCATAAGCCGCAACTCAGAATTACATTGCTGCCGGAGCATGAAATCCTGTACCCCTTCACATGCTGCTACCCCTAAAGCGCCTGAAGCCTAAACCCTAAACCCTAGCCCTAAACCCTAAACCCTACACCCTAAACCCCGAATCGCCACGGAAACCCTAAAACCTAAATGACTAAACCTACAGAGAAGTTACGTGACAAAACCCCTCAACCCAAGGACATCCAAATCCCGGCATTGGTTAGGGTTTAGGGGTTTAGGGGTTTAGGGGTTTAGGGGTTTAGGGGTTTAGGGGTTTAGGGGTTTAGGGGTTTAGGGGTTTAGGGGTTTAGGGGTTTAGGGGTTTAGGGGGGGTTTAGGGGTTTAGGGGTTTAGGGGTTTAGGGGTTTAGGGGTTTAGGGGTTTAGGGGTTTAGGGGTTTAGGGGTTTAGCTGTTTAGCTGTTTAGCTGTTTAGCTGTTTAGCTGTTTAGCTGTTTAGCTGTTTAGCTGTTTAGCTGTTTAGCTGTTTAGCTGTTTAGCTGTTTAGCTGTTTAGCTGTTTAGCTGTTTAGCTGTTTAGCTGTTTAGCTGTTTAGGGGTTTAGGGGTTTAGGGGTTTAGGGGTTTAGGGGTTTAGGGGTTTAGGGGTTTAGGGGTTTAGGGGTTTAGGGGTTTAGGGGTTTAGGGGTTTAGGGTTTAGGGTCCCCTGGACCCCAAACCGCCCTAAGCGCCATACCCTGTGCACCCTGACCCCTAAACCACAAACCGCCCCATGCCCTAAACCCAACTTTGGAACACGCCCTAAACCCTAAACCCTAAACCCTAAACCCTAAGCCGCAAACCTTGCACCCTCAACTCCAAACCCTACTCGAAGCTCCAAGTCTTACACCAGAATAGTCACCTTACATACCTGAAACCCCTCAATATCCTAAACCCTGAACACCCGAAAGCCGAGTAACCCCAAACTCTAATCATCCCCTTAGTTTGGGCCTTTGGTGCGCCCCCCCCCCCCCCCCCCCAACACCCTAAACCCCTAAACCCTAAACCCTAAAAAACCCTAAACCCTAAACCCTAAACCCTAAAACCCTAAAAAACCCGAAACCCTAAACCCTAAAACCCCTAAAACCTAAAACCCTAAAAACCCTAAAACCTAAAACCCTAAAACCTAAAACCCTAAAACCCTAAAAACCCTAAACTCCTAAACCCTCCCCCCCCCCCCCCCCCGCCCTGGGAGCGGCTTGGGGTGAGGCACGAAACTGCCTGCTGAGGCCATGACGGACGGTGCCTTCTCGCCCTGGGTCCGCGAGGGAAGGCGCGGTTCGAGGTTGCAGGGGTTTAGGGTTTAGGGTTTAGGGTTCAGGGTTTAGGGTTTAAAATTAGGGGGTTTTGGGTGTTTAGGGGGGTTTAGGGGGTTTAGGGTTTAAGGGGTTTAGGGGGCTTAGGGGGTTTAATTAGGGGGTTTAGGGGGTTTAGGGGGTTCAGAGGGTTTAGGGTTTAGGAGGGTCTAGGGTTTAATGTTCAACATTTTAATGTTCCAGGCTAGAACGTTTGGGGCTTTAGGACTTCAAGGTTTTTTCTGGTTACAGGGCTGGATTTGAGGTGCTTATGGTTTTAGGACTTTAGGGGTGTGGGGCCTTCAGTTTCAGGGTCTTAGTGCCTTGAGGCTGTTAGGTTTCAGGGCTCTAGGGATTTTAGGGTTCAGGGGGTTGGAGTTTGGGGTTTTTGAGGTCCAGGGTTTTCAGGTTTGAGGGTGAACGGTTTCAAAGGTTTCAAAGGTTTAGGGCTTGGGTTTGAGGGTTTAGGTACTAGGGTATTAGGTTCTCAGGGCAGGTAGGCATTGCAACTGACAAATGGAGCAAAAAACGATGTGTTCCACAACACGCGTAATTATTTTTTTAAATATTTGCATTCGGCGGTTTAGGGGCTTAGGGGTTTCGAGGGTGCAAGGGCTGTGGGATTAGGATTTGAGGTTTTGGGCCTTTGGGTTTATAAGGTTTAAGAGTCGTGCGCTGAGGGCCAGGGTAGAGACGGCCCACAGCGGGAACAGGCTTACCCTAAACCCTAAACCCTAAACCCTAAACTCTAAACCCTAAACCCTAAACCCTAAACCAGCCCTCCATACTGTAGGGCATTTCAGGGTCTCAGGGGTTTAATAGGGGTGTGGGGTCTTGGGGATTTACGTAGGTGGTTTGGGGTTTAGGGGGATTCGGGTAGGAGGATCTAGGGTTCAGGGTTTTTTTGAGCTTGGTGGCCAGGAGCGGGGTTTAGGGTTTAGGGTTTAGGGTGTAGGGTTTACCGGGCTGAATTACAGAACCTCACCCAAGCCTTGTGAGCCCTCCAACCCTTTCACCAAAGCCCGAAGCCCCGAAATCCCTATCCCTTTCTCCCGTGAAAGCCTAAGTCCCAAGCCCGACCTCCAAAGCCCAAGCGCCACACCCCAAAACCTCTCAACCCAAACCCCTAAATCCCAAGATCCCCTAAACCCCTAAAGCCCCTCCTACCCTGCTTCGAACTACACCGGCTGGGATTAGCGCAGGGTGCGAAGGTTTCGGAAGGGGGGCTTTGCCCTAACCTTGCGCCCTATTTTCAAGCCCCAAACCTTGAGCCTTTAACTTGGGCTTTTGCCCCTATACCAACAGTCCTGAACAGGGATTACCCCCCCCCCATTCTCATCCCTATTGAGGACTGTTCGTATATGGAAGGGGGAACATTCCAACCAGGGTTTGGGGTTTAGGGTTTAGGGTTTAGGGTTTAGGGTTTAGGGTTTAGGGTTTAGGGTCGAGGGTTGGGGTTTGGGGTTTGGGGTCTTGTGGTTTTGGGGTTTTGGGGTTTGGGGTTAGTGTTTAGGGTTTAGGGTTTTGGGGTTTGGGGTTTGGGGTTCAGACCCTTCCACAGGTTGATGGACCTTCATGGGATGAGCACTGAGGCCCCGAGCACCCGACGATGCATCACTCGGCATGTGGCTTTGGGTTTGAGTTCAGGGTTTGGGGGTTAGGGTTTAGGGTTTAGGGTTTAGGGTTTAGGGTTTAGGGTTTAGGGTTTAGGGTTTAGGGTTTAGGGTTTAGGGTTTAGGGTTTAGGGCCGTTTAGGGTTTAGGGTTAACCCTAAACCCTAAACCCTAAACCCTAAACCCTAAACCCTAAACCCTAAACCCTAAACCCTAAACCCTAAACCCTAAACCCTAAACCCTAAACCCTAACCCGTATAGGTTCCGGTGCAAGCCCATGAGCCGCTCTTCGTGGCTTGCAACAGTCAGTAGCGTCCTCTGAGCTTGGGGGGATTCGGCCCCAATCTCCTCCTCCATGAACCCTAAACCCTAAACCCGAAACCCTAAACCCTAAACCCTAAACCCCCGCGCCCACCCACCCAGGCACCTAAAGATTAAGGCTCCTCTTGGAACTGCAGTGACCTACAAGATGGCCCCTAAACCCTAAGCCCTAAAACCTAAACCCTAAACCCTAAACCCTAAACCCTGGTGAATGAAGAACTTGCTATGTTCAGTGAACGGTCGAGACTGGTTTAGGGTTTGCAGCATGCAGGTCAGCCCCGAGCCCCAAGACCCCAGTAAGCCCGACAAACCCTGAGAAGCCCTGACCGCTTGAAGGCCGCAAGGTTAACTGTAGGGATGATACCCCTAAACCCTAAACCCTATATAAACCCTATATAAACCCTAAACCCCAAACTCTAAACCCCAATACCCGTCTCAATCGCAGAGCCCAAGCAGAGAGGGCTGAAGCTTAAGCCCTATAACTCCTTGTGCCCCAACACCTGCGCCGTGCCTCCTAAGTCCTTCTTGGTGCTTTCTCGGGTGAGAAGGGGCGCTGAAAGGACCTTAGTAGGGGTTTAGGAAAGTCTAACCTTAGGCTCAAAATAGCCCAAAAACCTTATGTAAGAAGGCCTTTGGCCCCAGATACCCTAAAATAAGAGCCCTTCCTAAACCCTAAACCCTAAACCCTAAACCCTAAACCCTAAACCCTAAACCCTAAACCCTTCGAGCCTCAGGGTTAGGGTTTCGGGTGTAGGATTTAGGGATGGAATCCCCATCCTGAAACCGGAACAGCAGCTTGCTGAGGCGAGTGGAGGCTTTAGGGTTTAGGGTTTAGGGTTTAGGGTTTAGGGTTTAGGGTTTAGGGTTTAGGGTTGCACTGCAGGAGGCCGTGAGAACCACGCGCACGGGGTTTATTTTGCCTAGGGTTTTTCTGAAAGCATGTGTTACCAAATTACCAAAACGGGGATTCAACGTTCAGCAGTTCAGAGTAAGGAGGAATGGTTGAGTTGAGCGCACGCGCTCGCGCGCACGTGCGCACGGGGCCCGGTTCCGTGGCTCGCGCTTTCGCGGCACTCGCTCTATGCCCGGATCACGCTCTCGGGACGGTTTCGGCGCTCACCACTTCTTATACTACAGACCGAGGTTTTTTGTGTCGTCCGACGTGGCAACCGTGCTCTCGCCAAGATCTCTGCGCTTCTGTGGTGCACATCGTGCTGTGGTCCCCTGTGCTTCTTGAGGCTTGCCATGCATCCTTCCGTGTCATGAAAATGCGGCAGGGGCGCACTTTCACGTCCCTCAGTCTCTGGTACGGCTTTGCTTGCGCGTCCGTTGGGGTTTAGGGTTTAGGGTTTAGGGTTTAGGGTTTAGGGTTTAGGGTTTAGGGTTTAGGGTTTAGGGTTTAGGGTTTAGGGTTTAGGGTTTAGGGTTTAGGGTTTAGGGTTTAGGGTTTAGGGTTTAGGGTTTGGATCGTGCTCCCGCCACATTTCCATGTGCTCCTCGCTTCTCCTTTGGCTTTAAGATGGGGGCTTTCTGAAATTGGGGGTACCTTAGTGGGGTCTTTGTTATAAGGGGATCCTACTATCTGGGGGGGCTCCCTAACCCCTAACCCCTAAACCCTAAACCCTAAACCCTATACCCTATAAACCCAAAGCCCCCGAATCTCTATTAGGGGCCCCCTGGCATCGAAACCCCCACCCTAAACCCTAAACCTTAAACCCTAAACCCTAAACTCTAAACCCCAGATGTTTCTCCCGCCGTTTGCGTGCCATGCGATTGTGTGGGGTCAAGTCACACCCCCACCTCGGTCAAGTGCGCAATCGGTGTTACTGTAGGGTTTAGGGTTTAGGGTTTAGGGTTTAGGGTTTAGGGTTTAGGGTTTAGGGTTTAGGGTTTAGGGTTTAGGGTTTAGGGTTTAGGGCCTTAGGGTTTAGGGTTTACGGTTTAAAGTTTAGGGTCTTGGGTTTAGGCCATTTGGGTTTAGGGTTTAGGGGTCGCCCCAGAATACTGGAGGATCCAAACAATAGATCCCTTTATAAGGGTTCCTCAAAGTGACCCAGGAGTAGTGTAGGGTATTTTTTGGGGGTTCTACTTTTACGCGGACTGTTGGACTAGCGCCATGTGTCATCGTTGTGGCTTCATTCTTTTTTTGGGGTCCGGACACACCGACCGGCATCTACCTGGGTTTCGATATTGTTAATAAAGGTATGGCGCGGTTTGATACTGTTCGAGGACTTTCAAAATTCGCTGAAAACCGAGGCTTTCCAGAAATGCAGTGCTCAGACAGAACATGCTAGCCGCAACCTCCCAAGGGATTTAGTAAGGAACCGCCGTCCTTGGGAATCCACAGATCTGGAGACCCCAGTGGCTCAGGAACTTGAGTGGGCTTGGAGGGGTGGTCTCGCAAAGATGAGACAGTGTAGATGTTCAGGCGCTCGGGCGCATGGGAAGTACAAGTCAGCGGGCCAAACCAGGAGCTTTGAACCATGTGAGATTTTGGCGACAGCACGTCATAAGTTTGACAGCAAGCTGCCACACGTCTTTTAGCCTTGCAACTGGTCTGAGGCACGTGCTGTTGGGAGAACTTGCCTTGCCTTGCGCGTCTGCGAACTCACAGTCCGGCCGCCGGCCACGCAAGGGTTTCTGGCAAAGGCAACTTCGATGTCAGAAGGGCCGGGTACTACAAATTGCGCAAGGGCCTGGGGCGCAAGAGGTCCGAAGCACGCACGAAAATCCAAACCCTGCCGTTTCAGACCCCTTGGCCTTATGTAGGCCCAATTTACATCGCACATCCAAAAAGCTTTGGCTTCGTCTGTAGCAAGACTCACACGTTTTCCAACCCCAGCCCACAATTACACCGCGCCCCATTCCTGCCCGAGCACCTTTGCCTTTCCATCCAAATCGAGACGCTATCTTAACACACAAGTCGCACTCAACCTTAGCATTATCCAGCCAAATTCTTCCTGATGGCCGATTGAAAGTGCCGGCCTTATCTAGTACTTATAACCCCAATAATAACTGTACTTATAAGCCCCCTAATTAAGTCCTCTAAGTAGGTTACAGGCGGACTTGTAACCAGGTTGATAAGTACCCATGAAACTCCAAGTATGGAGCCTTTGCCCGACCTGGAGAGGTGGCCAAAGTGGCCGTTTACATGGCAATGCGGGTGCGCCGGTTAGAGCTTGAGATCTCAGATTCAACACGTTTCAAGGTTCTGGGGTGAGTGTTTAGATGTTTGAGATTGTTCGGCTGATGTACCATACAGCCTTTTACTGCTATTGGGTTACTGGGTCAGTTCTGAGTGAACTGTCTAGTTTGAGTTCATTGCAGCGAAATGCTGCAACGGTTTCTGGAGGGTTAACATCCTTGAAGTGGGGCTGTACTTCTTAGATTCTTCCACTGGTTTCGGGTTTAGGGTTTGGAGTTTAGGGTTTAGGGTTTAGGGTTTAGGGATTAGGGTTTGGGGTTTAGGGTTTAGGGTTTAGGGATTAGGGTTTGGGGTGTGTACTTCTTAGATTCTTCCACTGGTCTGGGTACATTGGAGCCTCACATGGGTGGATGCGGGTTTGGGGTGCCACCTTCAACTTGCAGAAGGGTTTAGGGCTTAAGGCTTAGGGTTTAGGGTTTAGGGTTTCGGGCTTAGGGTTTAGGGTTTAGGGTTTAGGGTTTAGGGTTTAGGGTTTAGGGTTTAGGACTATTGAGGCCTGAGCCTCGGGATCAGGGAACGAAGGGTGCGGCCAGCAACATGGGGGCCCCGAAACGAACCACAGAGGGATTTAGGGTTTAGGGCTTGGGGTTTCGGGTTTGGATTTGGGGTTTCGGGTTTAGGGTTTAGGGTTTAGGGTTTAGGGTTTAGGGTTTAGGGTTTAGGGTTTAGGGTTTGGGAAAATGATTGCATGGAACCCAACCAGAGCCAAAATCAAGTCAACGACTCCTGGCAACGCTTAAGGTTTCGGGTTTCGGGGCCTCTGGCTTCGGGCTTAGACTTCGGATTCGTGTAGGTTTTCTGGTCTGGGGTTTAGGGTGGAGCAGTGGAGCCAAAAGATACGGCACTGGGCGCCCTAGGGCCCTAGGCCCACGAGCCACCCCACGCACTTCTGTGCGCGGCAGCCAGGCTGTCTCCAAAACAACCCGGTTTAGGGTTTAGGGTTTACGGTTTAGGGTTTAGGGTTTAGGGTTTAGGGTTTAGGGTTTAGGGTTTCTGTCTGAGACCCATAGAGGTCTGGGCCCATGGAAGCCCCTCAAAACGTTTGGAATCTTGTGGTCTGCTGGGCTTGGGCGCTGTCATGCTTTGGGCTCTTTGGGACCCCTAGAAGACTTGCAAGGAACCCTGAACCACCCTAAACCCTAAACCCCTAAACCCCTAAACCCCTAAACCCCTAAACCCCTAAACCCCTAAACCCCTAAACCCCTAAACCCCTAAACCCCTAAACCCCTAAACCCTAAGCCCTAAAGGTCGCAACCTCCGAGCATGGTACGTTATTTGGGGTCCTCGTTCTAAGGGACTCCTACAAGTGGGGGGGGCTATATATCGCAGCCTATTTTCGTAAACCATCTTATGATCTTTGGTCAGCGCCGGCCCTGGGTTTTCAAGCATTTGTGACCGGCCCAGGAAGGCCACCAAAACCTTTCATCTCAGATCTCGAACCTCCAAAACCCTAAACCTTTAAAAGCCCCAAGCCCGAAACCCTAAGCCTTAAACCCTAAGCCCCAAACCCTAAACACTAGCCCTAAACCCTAAGCCCTAAACCCTAAACCCTAAGCCCTAAACCCTAAACCCTAAACCCTAAACCCTAAAGTTTTGTTAAGTCTACAGCCTGCCAGGGCATCCCGGACCTTCCCGAAGACGACCTGGCCTTTACCTGGCGCCATGGGTCTTGGGGGGAGGTTAGGGTTTAGGGTTCAGGGTTCAGGGTTCAGGGTTCAGGGTTCAGGGTTCAGGGTTTAGGGTTTAGGGTTTAGGGTTTAGGGTTTCGGGTTTAGGGTTCAGGGTTCAGGGTTCAGGGATTTGCAGGGATTTCAGGGTTTTGTGTTGTGGGGTTTTGGAGTTGCAGGGATTTAGTTTCAGGGGGGGTGTTGGGGGGGGGAGTTGCAGGGATGTTGGGGTGATTTGAGGGGTTTTGAGGGGCTTTTCGGGGGCTTTTCGGGGGCTTTTGGGGCTTTGGGGGATTTTATCGTTTTTTGGGGTTGTGGGGTGGGAGTGCAGGGGCTGTGGGGTGTTGGGGTTTCAGGTTTTCAGCATTTTGGGATATTGGGAAATTCGGGTTTTGGGGTGTGGATCGTGGGATGGCGTGAGTATTGGATTTTCTTTTGCTCGGGTTTATGTACGGGGTTTGAGGAGCCTAAGTGCCCACCAAGATTGTGTCGTTTGAAGCCATAGGCCATGATATGGTATATAAGTTCGCCAAAATGCACACTCTACTGCCCCAGACCCCTGGGAGGATCCAAACATGGCACCCCCCCCCCCCCCAAATAGTACCCTACACTACTATTGGGTCATTCTTCGGAAGCCTTAAGGGGGCCTATTTTTTGGATCCCTAAACCCTAAACCCTAAACCCTAAATCCTAAACCCTAAACCCTAAACCCTCCCAGGGGTCTGGGTCAGTAGAGCCAAAATACTGGGGAGCTTGAGCCCGTGAGGTTGGTTCTTGCGCTGCTTTGGTTCAAGTGATCCGAGCTCATCTACTGGTGGCTCTTGTGAGTTCCCTTGCCTTTTCTTCCACCCTAAACCGTAAACCCTAAACCCTAAACCCTAAACCCTAAACCCTAAACCCTAAACCCTAAAAGGGTCCGCAAACGCAAGGGTCAAGGGTGCAACTTTCGGGGTCGAAGGTCGTGCTTCAAGATTCTTGGAGCTGACGGTTGCAGTTGAGGTGCTGAAGTTGTACCCTGCCAAGTGGAAGACCCGGACCTTAGGGTTTAGGGTTAAGGGTTTAGGGTTTAGGGCCGTTTAGGGTTTAGGGCTACTTGCAGGTTACGGTACTTATAACTGTACTTGTAACCATTTCAGGGCACTTGAGGGGCTTATCACTGGGTTATAGGTACAGCTATCATTGGTTACGAAGTACCACGAACCTCCAAGTACCTGCTTCTTGCAGGTTGCTTCGTAGGGTAGAGTGGCAAGACACATAAAGGGTGGGGCCCCCTAGTTATAAGTAGAGTTATAAGGGCCCTAAATTGGGTTATAAGGACCCTAAGTTAGGTTATAAGTCCCTTAACTACAGTTAGTATAGTAAGGGGGCCCCACCCTGTAAGCCCTGACCTAGAACCCCCGGTAAGCCCTGAACTCGGAGCCCGAAACCGATGCACAAGTGTATACTTTCCGGAGCCGAACCTTTCGGGTTTAGGGTTTAGGGTTTAGGGTTTAGGGTTTAGGGTTTAGGGTTTAGGGTTTAGGGTTTAGGGTTTAGGGTTTAGGGTTTAGGGTTTAGGGTTTAGGGTTGCTAGGGCCCTTAAAGGACACCCAACGATGAGGCGCCTGGAAGGATGGGACTAGTAAACTCTATACCCTAATGTCTTAAGATCCCCCCCCAAAAAAAACATAAAATAGCAATCCCTATGTTGCCCTTATAATAAAGTTTTTTGGGGGGGAGGGGGTAGTAAACTCTAAACCCTAACCCATATTTTGGCACCTGCAACTGGGTGTCAGGGGCCTGAAGATCATCGTCGGAAAGGGTCTCCACAGCGCCAACGGCGAGCCAGGGCCACGGCTTCAGGGTTGGGAATTTCGGGATTTTTGAGGGGGGAGTTTAGGATGGGTTGGGGTTTAGGGTTAGGGTTTAGGGTTTAGGGTTTAGGGTTTAGGGTTTGGGGTTTGGGGTTTAGGGTTTAGGGTTTAGGGTTTAGGGTTTAGGGTTTAGGGTTTAGGTTGTAGGTTCTATGGTGAAGGGGTTTGAAGTTCAGGGCCGAGGGTTGAGGGTCTCGGGTGAGAGGAGGGTCGCAGACAGTGTGGGTAGGAGTTTTAGGGTCTAGGGTTTAGGGTTTGGGGTTTAGGGTTTAGGGTTTAGGGTTTAGGGTTTAGGGTTTAACCAAGCCTCAAACTTGGGGAACCCGAAACTGAAGAAACCAGTCGATCAATCCCCAGGGTGGTCCTGGATCCTGTCATTCGCGAGCTCCTGGAGAAGGCCAACCCCTGGGGATGTCAAATCCGAAGCTCAAAACCCAAGGTCCTTGAACCCCTGGTTTAGGGCCAGTTTAGGGTTCACGGGTTTAGGGTTTAGGGTTTAGGGTTTAGGGTTTAGGGTTTAGGGTTTAGGGTTTAGGGTTCCGGGTTTAGGGTTTAGGGTTTAGGGTTTAGGGTTTAGGGTTTAGGGTTTAGGGGCCCTGAGCCCTAAACCCAACGCCCTTGCACCCCTAAAGCCCTTGTTGCAAGATCTAGACTGTTCGGCAGCATACGTTTTTTACTTGTTTGGGATCTGGGTTCCCTATACTATATTGGGTAAGTAGCCCGGGTCATTGAAAACCCCCTAAACCCTAAACCCTAAACCCTAAACCCTACGCCCTTAGAGCTTCGGCTCCCCGTCGAAGGTGTTCCTCTTGCGCGTCTCCTTCACACGGGAAGGCACCTACCGTGTCGCAGCTGAGGACGGTTTGGGGCTCTGGTTTTAGAAAGAAGTGGGCATGTGTGTTTCATCCCTGAAAATGAAGGGGGGGAGTTCGTGCATGTGTCCCCTCGTGTGATCTAGATTTGGGTGTGCCGCTCTTTCACCGCTTCACTTGGCTACTTTCAAGCGCCAACTAGCTCGTGGACCTCTGCACACCGCTGGCTTAGCTTCCTGATAGGGCCATACCACCCCGCCATTCCGTCCCTCCATCTTCAGCCAAGATGGCCAAAGTCGTGTGCGTCACCGGCTGCACAGGGTACGTCGCCTCGGAGGTGGTGCGTCAGTGCCTCGAGCTGGGGTGGACGGTGCGCGGCACCGCGCGCGACATCAGCGACGAGGCCAAGACTGGATACCTCAAGAAGATGGCTGCCGGCCTGCCCGGCAAGCTGGAGCCTTGCTAGCCCAGTGGTACCCTTTGCCCTTTTTGTTTTTGGTTCTGGGTTCCCCTTTTTCAAAATAGCCAACCCAAAACAGGTGCCCTTATTATAAGAAAAAAGTTGTTGGGCTGCCAAGGAGCTGGTGCAAGCAGACCTCCTTACCGAGGGTGCCTTCGACACGGCCGTCCAGGGCTGCGAGCACCTTTGGGGGAAATGTCTGGCTGGTTCGAATGTTAGTCGTGTTGGTTGCAACTGGGGTGTGTTGGGCACGCGCGTGTTGAGAACAGGGGGGGTGCGTGTTGGGAACAGGGCAGGCGTGAGTCGGGAACGCAGGGGGGGGTGAGTCGGGAACAGGGCTTATTTGTACAGCACGCCCCGGTTGAGTTGGGAACGGCTGCCCCCCAGAATTGGGTTTCGGAGTGATGACCCTGCTCTGCAGGTTTGAACTTAAAACAAACCTGCAGAGTAGGGTCATCACTCCGAAACCCAATTCTGGGGGGCAGCCTTTCCCAACTCAACCCCGGGCGTGCTGTACACATGGGCCCTGTTCCCGACTCACCCCCGCTGCGTTCCTGACTCACGCCTGCCCAGTTCCCAACACGCGCCCCCCCTGTTCCCAACACACCCTCGGCCCGCTCCCGACACTTGTAACCGACTCAACCTTCATCCTGGCTGGTTCTTATAGTCGGGAATTTTGGGAATGAGGTACTGGCACATAATCCCCTAAAGGATATATCTTGGGCCCGAATTCCCTCATTCCATACAGAGAACCAGGGGGGAATGCCTGTGATTGCATACCCTCGACGAAGATACTTTCCTTCTGAAGGTCTAGGCGAGTCCGGGCTCCTTAAATTCTCGGCCCGGTGTTCTTATAGTAGGGAATTTTGGGAATGAGGTACTGGCACATAACCCCTTAAAGGATATATCTTGGGCCCGAATTCCCTCATTCCATACAGAGAACCAGGGGGGCATGCCTATGATTGCATACCCTCGACGAAGATCTCTTGTAGGCTTGCCTACTAGTGCCTTTTGGGCTAGCGAGTGAGGCAACGCCGAGCTAATGTCAAAACCTCTTTGCCTCATTGCGTGAGCGTGCAGCAACCTCGGTGGAGGGTGGGTGGGGGCTGTTTACTGGAGCTCACAGCTTGTTGTCCCGCCCGCCCTCCCCATTTAGGGCATGTGGCCTTGGCCCAAGGGCCGTGTGTACTCTTACTTAGCCTAGCCCCGCCGTTGTGTGCGGCACCGCGTCTCGCCCCTCGCGAAAAAGAAGTGCCTTGCTGTGGTAAGGGTTTTGATGAAGCGCACAAAAGATACTTTCCTTCTGAAGGTCTAGGCGAGTCCGGGCTCCTTAAATTCTCGGCCCGGTGTTGGGTACCCTATATATTCGTACATATACATATATATATATATATACATATACACATATGTATATATATATATATATTTCTGTAAGCTCCTGATTCTAATCGGAGCACCCAAAAAGAGGGGACCAAAAATTTTAGAGAGCCTCCCAACTTAAGGTACGTGTTCCACACCGCCTCCCCGTTCTTCTTCGGCTCGGAGTCGGAAGGGCCGGAGGCTGTGGAGGCGAAGCTCATCAAGCCAGCAGTGGACGGGACGAAAAATGTCCTCACCTCGGTCGGCAAGCACAAGGCCAGTTTAGGGTTTAGGGTTTAGGGTTTAGGGTTTAGGGTTTAGGGTTTAAGGTTTAAGGTTTAGGGTTCCAGGTTTAGGGTTCCAAGTTTAGGGTTCAGGGTTTAGGGTTTAGGGTTTAGGGTTGCGGAAGTTCAGGATCTTTTCGGTGAGTTAGTAGAGTGGAGCCGAGGTTTCTCCTCTGCGCCCCAAGGTTCGCCCTGTTTTGCTTCCCTAAACCCTAAACCCTAAGCCCTAAACCCTAAACCCTGAGGATAAGTAAAAGGCCGGCATCAAGTGTGTCGCACTGACCTCCAGCTGCGCCGCCATCTCAGGCTTCACGGGCACCGACTCCTTACTTAGCCAACAGTTGAACTTCAATGTTTTTCGCATTCCCTGTTTAGGGTTTGGGGCTTAGGGCTTAGGGCTTTGGGATTTTAGTAGGAAGAAAAAAGTGCAGCCCCTTTTTTCCCCTTGGTCATGGGGGAAAGTGAGGACAAGATCGCGCGAGAGGACGGGAAGTTCTCTGAGGCAGACTGGAACGAGACCTCCACGCGCGAGGCAGGGGCGTACCTGCTGTCAAAGACCCTGGCAGAGACTTGGTTGTTCAGGGTTAGGGGTCAGGGTTTAGGGTTTAGGGTTTCGGGTTTAGGGCTATTAGGACCCGGTGTAGGCCCTTATTCCCTTTCTTTCAGGGTTTAGGCCCTCTTAGCCCCTTTAAGCCAAGAAGGGCACGCTTTTTTTGGTTCCTAGGTTACTCTTGGTCCTGGTGGTATAGCCCAGTGGTACAGTGACAGCGCTGGGTAAGAAACCTCAAACCTCAAACCCTAAACCCTAAACCCTAAACCCTAAACCCTAAACCCTAAACCCTAAACCCTTGTTGGCGAGGGCACCTGGATCTTGTATCTTCTGAAGCGCATCTATTCTCCGGAATTATCACCTCAACAATCTTGCGGGCACCTTCGGCTTCTTACTTTACAAGGATGCCCAGTAGTACCCTTATTCCCTTTTTGGGGGGTTTAGGTTCCCTTATAAACCCCTTTAAGCAAAAAAGGGCATCCTTTTAAAGCCTAGGTTACTGGGCAGCCTAGTCTATTTCTTCATTTGGATGCGAGCTGGGAATCTTTAAATTTGTAGGGCGGCGCCTGATCCATTAGCCTGATCACTCGTTTCGAATTGGGGGGCCCCCCCCCGCCCCCTGAAATAAGAAATCCTTCCCATTTCTTTTGAATTTGGGCGCCCCCCCTCCCCCCCCCCCCCTCCCCGGCCCAAAACAAAAAAGCACAAAGAAGTCAAGACATCCCGCCTATCAAGTTCTTGATTTGGGGGGGGTTGTGTGGTCGCTCCTCAAAGAGCAGTCCAGCCCACCCTCCCCCCACCCCCCCCCTCCCCTCCCAAAAAAAAACAGAAAACCCACCCCTTTCTTAAAGCCAAGAAATCCAGCCCGTCGAACTTTGGAAATTTAGGAAATCCAGCCCGTCGATTACTTACTCCAGCCCCTCGAATTAAGAAATTGAGGGGCTGGATCTCTTAGATTTAAGAAATTGAGGGGTTGGAAATCTTGTTTGAAGGGGGTGGGGGGCTGATCTCTCATTGAAGGGGGGGAAGCATTAAGAAATTGAGGTGCTGCCAATAAAACATTCTGAAACACAAGAAACTGAGGGGCTGCGGCAAAATAGCCAAAGTTCAGAACGTTTGGTCCCCAGGGTGAGGGTACCGGCTTTAGGGCTTAGGGCGTAGGGTTTAGGGCTTCTTGCCTTCAATTTCCGCACATATGTAACCGTGGGTCCCCAAGCGAGAGTGGGGGTTTGTTAAGCCAATGACTTCTTAAGCAGTGCTGTCGCTGCACCCTGCTGGCCTCTTTTTGTTTCACGGGGTTCCCTTCTCTAACCTCGCCAGCCCACAAAGACGGGGGGACGGGGTACCCTTCCTACATGTTTACTGGCCGACTAAGGAGAAGGCAGCTTGGGAGATCGCAGAGAAGCTAGGATGCCCAGTAGTACCCTTATTCCCTTTTTGGGGGGGGGGGGGGGGTTTAGGTTCCCTTCTAAACCCCTTTATAAGCAAAAAAAGGGGCACCCCTTCTTAAGCCTTGGTTACTGGGCAGCCTAGGAAGGAGGGCTTTAAGCTGGTCACCATCTGCCCTTCCTTTGTGTTGGGCCCGGCGAACACCGATCGCAATGACGGCGAGTCGGTCGGCTTTGCCCTCAAGCCACTGGTTTAGGGTTTAGGGTTTAGGGTTTTAGGGTTTGGGGTTTAGGGTTTAGGGTTTAGGGTGGTTTCTCCACTTTTTTTGATGTTGAAGAGGATCGAACTAGGAATACTCCTAAACCCTAAACCCTAAACCCTAAGCCCAAAGCCCCTGTTTCCAAGGGCTTCAAACGTGCCAAAACCGAGGCTGCTGAAGGAAGGCTCAATCGGCCTGGTTGGCTTTCCTTGCATCGACGTCCGAGATGTTGGCAAGGCTCACATCCTTGCCTGCACGAACCCGAACAGTGACTGAGCTACTTCAAAGTCAGAATTGCCCTGTTGTGTTGCCCTACTGTTGTTTTGCCCTTAAAGGAACCTACTAAAACCCCTAAACCCTAAACCCTAAACCCCAAACCGAAGCCCTAAACCTTAGAAAGCGTAAACTCCGACGTATCCAGCCCTAAACCCTGAAACCCTACATTCGCAGCTGTTTCAGGGCACCCTGGATTCCCAAAACCCTGTCAGAGAACAGTAGCTTCCCAAATTCCCTACGAAGTGTAGTGCGTGGTAGGGTATTAGGTGTTTACGGCGAATAGGATTTAGGGTTTAGGGTTTAGGGTTTAGGGTTTAGGGTTTAGGGTTTAGGGTTTAGGGTTTAGGGTTTAGGGTGTCGAGGTGAAGGCCGGTACATCTTGTCGTCGACCTTCGGCGTGCCTGCCTGGTGGGCCTACGAGGCGCTCCAGAAGCTCCCAAAAGCCACGGTTCAGGGTTTAGGGTTTAGGGTTAGGGTTTAGGGTTTAGGGTTTAGGGTTTAAGGTTTAGGGTTTGGGTTTAGGGATTAGGGTTTGGGTTTAGGGTTCAGGGTTCAGGGTTCAGGGTTTAGGGTTTAGGGCTTGGGTTTAGGGATTAGGGTTTAGGGTTTAGGGCTTAGGGCTTTGGGGCTTAGGGCTTAGGGCTTAGGGTTTAGGGTTTAGGGTTTAGGGGCCCAAAAACCGAAGCCCCAAGAAGAACGGAGCCCAAAACGCCAAAACCAGAAGCCCTAAACCCCCCAAAACCCCTACACCCTGAAACCCCTAAGCCCCGCTAAACCCTTAAACCCCAATTCTGAATTTCTAGACACCTAGACCCCAAACCCCTAAACCCTCAAACCCTAAACCCCTAGCCCCCCAATTAAACCCCTGAAGCCCTAGACCCTAAACCCTCAAACCCCAAACCCCAAACCCCAAACCCTAAACCCTAAACCCTAAACCCTAAACCCCAAACCCTAAACCCTAAACCCTAAACCCTAAACCTTAAACCCTAAATCCTAAGCCAGGCGATTGAGCCCCTGGGCCTCGCCAAGCTTCAGAAGCCTGAGAAGCCCGAAGGGGCCGAGGTGAAGCACACGTTTTGCAACGACAAGGTGGGCTTAGGGTTTAGGGTTTGGGGTTTAGGGTTTAGGGTTTAGGGTTTAGGGTTGACCCTGAACCGCTTAGGGTTTTTTTCGAGCTTATAGGGTTTGTAGGTTTCTTGTCCTAAATGATCCAAGATTTCTCGGGTTGAGAGATTCGGGTTTAAGGTTTAAGGTTTAGGGCTGGTGGGCTCTTTTATGTCCGGTATTGTCCAAGGAAGGGCCCTCTCAAACTCGTCCAAGAATCTTACGATTAGGGCGGCTAGGGTTGGGTTTTAAGATTCAGGGTATTTAAAGGGGCAGCCTTCTTACTTAAACGAGAACTACAAATTGTACGTAGATTTACCGTGGCTGTGGATTGGAGTCCCATCTCCTGGCTGCTTAACGAAAACGATGCCGAATGCCCGAAGCTGTATAATATAGGGATCGGAGGAATTACTACTAGTATTCCCTTATGGCCCTTTATGAATAGACTGTAGTAACACCCAAAACCCTGTTCCAATTATTGAGGCCCCTATATTACTGTGCAGGGGCTTTCACCTAAACAGCCCTGGCTTTGTGGTACCATAGGGGCCGGAATAACTACCAATAGCATTCCCCTGTGGCCCCTGTAGTGTTATGCTAGAAATAGCCCCGAAACCCCATTCTATCTATTGAGGCCCTTATGGTACACCAGTTGCAAGTCAACCCTTTTCGTCAAAACCAGAAAACCGAGTATCTACTTCGAACATCGCCACCACGCAGGATTTTTGGGTAGGCACTCCAGGGATACTCTGCGGGGTCTCTTGCGAATTCTCTCTAAACAGGCGTTTTAGGGATAAGCAGGCCCTGACGCGGAGAATAGCTGAATGAAATCTTAGTCGGGTAGTGATATACCAATAGTAACGAAGACACTTTCCTTTATCATGAAACTTAAACCACCTCAAACCCCTTAACCCCCTGTAAACCTCCTTAAACCCGTTTAAAGCCCCTTGTAAACCGCTGCAAGCCCCCCTCCCAACTATCCAAAACCCTAAACCCTAAACCCTAGAAAGCAGTGCAGGTGCAATCCACGGAGGGCGCAGGGCTCGGCATCAAACTGACAGACTTGAAGACGACCCTGGCCGACATGCTCACATCCATGAAAGTCTCCCACGCTGCGCACCTTGCGTAGAAATCTCGGCCCATGGGTTTAGGGTTTAATTAGGGTTTAGGGTTTAGGGTTCAGGGTTCAGGGTTTAGGGTTTAGGGTTTAGGGTTTAGGGGGTCGAACAACGTTTTTTTCCTGACGACGCTGTCTGCGTCTGAGAGGGGTGGTTGATTCTGGGCCAGGGCGTGCCTGAGTTCGCTACTTTTCGCGTTCGCGCCTACACCCGCGGGCTCCAACCGTATTGGCTTCTTGCACAATGCTTGGTAGCCCAGTGGTACCCTTTACCCTTTTTTTGGTTATGGGTTCCCTTATTAAAGTAACCAACCAAAAAACAGGGTGCCCTTGTCATAATATGGTTGCTGGGCTACTAAGAATGACAAGAGATGCCATGGATGCTGCCGTGCAAAGTGTGCGAGGAGAATTCTCGGAGCAGCGTACCACTAACACGCCAACCGGGGACCCTCTTTACCTACAGTTTTATGCGTTCTACCTTAAGGGTAGTTACTACTAAACTGCAGGGAAATAGAGTCCCAGGTCTTGATCAACAATCGCCATCATAGGATCATATGGTTTGAGCTTCTTTCTCGAGTGGGAGTACCATCATCACCATCCCCGCCATGGTGGCAAGTACCGCCTCAGCCATGAACTTGAAACGACAGAATGGCGAACTTTCGAGGGTTTAGGGTTTAGGGTTTAGGGTTTAGGGTTTAGGGTTTAGGGTTTAGAGATTAAGTTGTACCAGAGGGGGCGGGCTCCGAGCACTTATTATCCGCAGGGGTTATCCCTCTAACCCTAAACCCTACACAATATAGGATCCTCCACGCAAGCCGGTACTACAAACCCAGGGTTTAGGGTTTAGGGGTTTTAGGGTTTTGGGTTTAGGGTTCGGGGCTGGGGAACCAAAAACCCTAAACCCAGGGCTAGGCTAGGTTTTTGGGTTAAGTTTTTGGCCGTTCACAGCTATCTCCATCCCGAGAGCAAGACAATTGCCACTGACCTTAGGTTCACGTTCCAGCTTCTGTAATGAAAAGCCCCTTCAGATAGTTGTGTCTTCCTCTAAGACCAGAAGCCCAAAAAAATTGACTAGAAGACTGGTATCACTTTTGAAGTGCACTGGCGTCTTGCGCAATCACGGCAGCATCCCATTCTGCCCGCGCCACACTGCTGTATAGGCACGACTGGACCTCAAGTCCCCAAGGGCTAAGGGTAGTTTCATGGTCCCTGAATATGGTCCCGAACCTCCTTTAACGCGTTCTGAAGTATGGGCCCTTCATTTGTCTAGGGTATATAGGGGGGTATATAAGGGGTACCCCTTCAAGGGGCCCATACTCAGGCACCATGGAACTCTCCTAAGACAACAGGCTGAGCACTGAGACCCGGGGCAGCTACCCGGTTTCAGAGCATGGCGGACAGGCAAAAAAAAATCGACGGCAAGATGCTGCTTCGGGTTTATAGGGCTCATAGGTTGGGATGTTCCCCCCCTTATACAGCCCTTAATAGGGATTATACTAGGGGGTACTTTCATCCCAACTTCTAGGCTTGAAGTTCCAGGGTTCAGGTGCCCAATCGTTTGGCCAAGACACCTGGGGGCTTCGAGGATCTGAGGTGGTAGGGGCAGCCACTTTTCGCCTATTTGTTAGGGTAGCTACATGGTCTCTTTAATGTGGGCCCTTGAAAAGGGGGCCGCTTACATATCTCATGTATACCCACTGAAGGGCCCCTACTTCCGAACCCTTTAAAGAAGGCAAGGGACCAGAGGAAGGGCCCATGAAACTACCTTTAGATATCCTCGTTTGAAGATGTAGGGTATATGGAGACCTCAAACTGTCCTGCCCTACCCCAAACCGGAAACCCGCGACAGTTGAGCTGCAAGGTGTGCAGCGTTTATAGAGCTTACCTGGGACTCTATTTACCTACAGTTTAGTAGTCACTAGGTTTAGGGTTTATACAGAGTTCAGGGTTCAGGGTTCAGGGTTCAGGGTTTAGGGTTTAGGGTTTTACCTGAATTAGTGGGTAGAACCCATAAAACTGTAGGTAAAGAGCGTCCCAGATAGGGTTTTATGGGATTTAGGTTGAGGAGCTGCAAGAACAAACCCTAAACGCTAAACGCCAAACGCTAAACCCTAAACCCTAAACCCCAAACCTCTAATAACCCCCCCCCCCCCCACAAAAAAATAATCAGACAAAATCCCCTACGTGTCTCATATCCCTTTGTCGCCCCTGCAGGCCTGCATGCCACCCCCCCTTTTCCCTAAGCCCAACAGCCCATAAAACCCCCGAACCCGGAATCGTTCACTGCTGGTATTGATCAGGACTTGTGGAACATACGGACGGAGGCCCCAGCAAAATCCAGGGTTCAGGAGGGTTTAGGGTTTCGAGATTAGGGTTTAGGGTTTCGGGTTTGGGGTTTAGGCTTTCGGGTTTAGGGTTTAGGAGTTTCCCGTAATTTCAATGCAGTCGTCGGTGGTGGGCTAGGGGAAGACACATCAGCAGTGTGCTCAAAGAGACTTGAGAGCGCAGGGGTCTAGATTTGTTCAAGGGGCTCATGCCACCCTAAACCTTAAACCCTAAACCCTAAACCCTAAACCCTAAACCCTAAACCTCGAGCCCGACCTGGCACCCTCTCTACCTGCAGTTTTATGGGTTCTATCTACCTACTAGCTAAGGGTAGTTACTACTAAACTGCAGGTAAATAGAGTCCCAGGAAGAGCTCTATAGTTTCAGGGTTAAGGAGCATCCGGCGGTGGGTGCACTGAAACGAGCCTCCGAAAGAACCACCGCGTGGGACCATTTTCACAATGTGCCTCATAGGCTGTAAGTCCTACAAGGCATGTTTTGTGTGTGTGAGAGCTGTGCAACACCTTGTGCTTTTCGCAAAGTTGTTTAAGACAAGCAGCCATGCTTTGTGTTTGTCGTTCTGAGTCAGCAGTGCATTGGCTGTTGTCTTGGGTTTGTCTTGGTGAGCCAGCAATGCCAGTGGCTGTTTGGTCTAGTGGCGTGATTCTCGCTTCGGGTGCGAGAGGTCCTGGGTTCAATTCCCAGAACAGCCCTTTGCCAGCCCAACCAAACACTAGTAGCTGACAGGGTTAGGGTTGGGGGGTTGGGGGGTTGGGGGGTTGGGGGGTTGGGGGTTGGGGGGTTGGAGGGTTGGGGGGTTGGGGGGGTTGGGGGTTTGGGGGGTTGGGGGGTTGGGGGGTTGGGGGGTTGGGGGGGTTGGGGGGTTGGGGGGTGGGGGGGTTGGGGGGTGGGGGGTTGGGGGTTGGGGGGTTGGGGTTGGGGGGGGGGTTGGGTTGGGGGGGGGGTTGGGGGGGGTTGGTTGGGGGGTGGGGTGGGGTTGGGGGGGGGTGGGGGGTGGGGGGGGGTGGGGGGGGGGTGGGGTTGGGGGGGTGGGGGGGGTTGGGTTGGGGGGGTTGGGTTGGGTTGGGGGGGGGGGGTTTGGGGGGGGTGGGGTTGGGGGGGGGGGTTGGGGTGGGGGGCTTGGGGGGGCTTTGGTTGGGGGGAGGGGGGCTGGGGGGGGGGGGGGGGGCTTGGGGGGGGGCTTGGGGGGCTGGGGGGGGGGGGGATTGGGGGGCTTGGGGGGCTTGGGGGCTTGGGGGGCTTGGGGGGCTTCGGGGGCTTGGGGGGTTGGGGGGGTTGGTGGTTGGTGGGGTTGGGGGTTGGGGGTTTAGCGTGTAGGGTTTCGGGTTTAGGGATTGGGTTTTGAGTGGGTTTAGGACCCTCCCGAACTTAGTGGGTAGGTCGGTTGCTCTCATCCCCCCTACATCAAAACCCTAAACCGGAAACTCTAAACCCTAAACCCTATAAAACCCTAAAGCCTAAACCCCTTCAACCCAACAACCCCTAAACCTCTACAACCCCACACGGAAGCCCTCACGTCTGAGGCCTTTATCCGAAGCCCTCAACCCTCAAACCCTCAAACCCTCAACCCTCAAACCGTCAAACCGTCAAACCCCTAAACCCTAAACCCTAAACCCTAAACCCTAAACCCTAAACCCTAAACCCTAAACCCTAAACCCTAAACCCTAAACCCTAAACCCTAAACCCTAAACCCTAAACCCTAAACCCTAGCCCCAAACCCTAAACCCCAAACCCGAAAAAACATCCCCATTCTCTGCAGGGCAAGTGGCCGCCGACATGGCTGAAAGAGGGCCTAGAGCCGCCCCAGGCTGCTTGAGGGTTTAGGGTTTAGGGTTAGGGTTTAGGGTTTAGGGTTTAGGGTTTAGGGTTTAGGGTTTAGGGTTTAGGGTTTAGGGTTTAGGGTTTAGGGTTTAGGGTTTAGGGTTTCGGTTTTAGGGTTTAGGGTGTAGGGTTTGAGGCTTGAGGCTTGAGGCTTTTCAGGGAGGTGGAGCAGGCCCTAGCTATCGGCATGTGGTGGCCTGAGTTGGGTTCAAGTCGATCCCTCTCCTGGCTTCAAGGTCTCGCGGTGGCTGGGAGTTTTGGGGTTTAGAAAACTTCGGGTTTAGGGTTTAGGGCTTAGGGTTTAGGGTTTAGGGTGACAGGCTGGCGGAGCTTTCAGGTTCGGGGCCACACAGCACTGAACTGAATACCTCTACAGGGTTTAGTAAGCAACCCTGAACCCTAAACCCTAAACCCTAAACCCTAAACCCTAAACCCTAAACCCTAAACCCTAAACCCTAAACCCTAAACTCCCCAAGCCCGGACTGGAGCCTAAGGTTTCAAAAACAGGAAAGCCCAAAGCCTCCCACATGCCCCCCAAAACCGCAAAACCCTAAGCCCCAACACCCTATACCCTTGGGATGTTGGGATCCCAAGCCTATGAAGGACTGTTAGTACAAGGGGGAACATCCCTAAACCCTAAACCCTAAACCCTAAACCCTAAACCCTAACCCCTAAACCCTAAACCCTAAACCCCAAACCCCAAACCCAACACCCGACACCCGAAGCACTGGCAGTCCTGGCTCCAGCGCAGAGACACACGCCCCCCAGAGCCCATGGGCCGCAAGCAAGATTGGTAGTTTTTTTGTTTTTGTTATTTATTTTTTGGGGGGGTTGGGACTCATAGA